AAAAACAAGGTGGATGAAAATGGCGTGGGAAACGGGGTGTGCTTCGACAGAACAGTTTTTACCTCGCTTTTGGTCAATTTTGCATGGAGATAGTTCGTCAAGTTTGACACACGGGGCTGAAATTTGGTCTGAAAGTTTTACCATTTTTTTCTTTTCTCTTAAAGGAAAAGATAACCGCGTTTCAACACATTGTTTCGCAAAAATTAAAAAAGTTCCCGGGGACGAATAAAAAAAAAAAAAAGAACAGGTTACCGATCACAGGTGTTTTTCCTGGCGGGAAATTCTCTCGAAAAACCGATGCAACGTTTTCATTTCAATGGTATTTTTATTAAAAACCCGATCCATACAGCCTCCATGGATATATACATTGCGTAAGCAGCGTATATAGTTACAATCTTTCCGATGTACAAAGAGAAAGCACCGAAAGTGCACTTGTACATGCGCATATTGTATACCCAACCCAATCTTGTGTATTATCCATCACCAAAAATGTAATGCACATAGTCCCATATATACACCACTTAATGTAGCTATTAAATATAATAGACACCAACCTGCACCATATAGTTCTTAATTCCCAGTGAATATGTAATTCAATGCAATATCCTGTTGTGCATCATCATTTCTCTGCTCCCACATCATTTTCCCTCGTCTAAATCCGATTCCCAAACGGAATCTAGCAAATTGGCGAGCGCGTGCACAAAGACAACGCTCGACTTTCTTTGGCTCGTTTTGCATGTCCTACGCGTAGGTATACGGGTGCAACAAAAACAAAGAGACATAAAAGCAGAACAAGGACTCACATAATATAGACACATAAGTAGGTATACATGTATGTATATATATACGCTTTACAATGGAGCCCGGCGAACTCCGTCCGTGTTTAGCGGTCGCGGCACGCCGAGTTCACCTCCTGAATAATATACGGCGTTTTTGCCAAACCCATTTGATTGTCGATCCGCGCTCTAGTACATATATAGTTATATATGTGTATGCCTGTGTGTATACACAGCCTTTCCCGCCGAGGCGAGGAAAGTAAAGGTAAAGCACAAAAGAGGTAACATGCACAGGCTCTCTTGTGGGATTTGTTGTAACATTACGCAACTACGGCGCTTTTGCGGAGAAAGAAGGGAGCCAGAAATACTTTGTATATACGTATTGCCTTGCCGGCGCGTTCGCCCGATCTCTGCTCTTTATCGTAATTGTCCTTACGTAAGGGTCACTGTTATACCTGTGCCCGTGCATTACGTAAAATATATGCTAATTGCAGCCACAAGAGTTGAATATTCTACTTTTAGTTACAACCACGTGTGCACGCGTGTCTAGTATTATTATTATTTTGCATTTGCAGTGCACCGATTTTGTTGAAAGGTTATACGAGTAAAAGCTCTCTCGCAGGATTAAATGGTACAGCCCCGGCTTGACTGGCTCGATCGAGGCCTGCAGGGCGCGTTTTTTTTTCTTCCTTTTTTGCATCGTACTTATAATTATCAACTTGTAAATCTCGAAATGTTTCCCCAAGTATGGGCACACCTGCGCAGGTGTATGTACGATATCGTGGGGAGTAATGGGTAACCAAAAAAAAAAAAAAAAAAAAAAACATGGTATCTATGTTGCATCGCGATACGTGTAATTTTTCATGAATCATCGTTTTAGCGCGAGTGTCTATACATTATTGTATCGTGTCTCATCGAACGGGGAATAATAATGATGATAATCGAGCCGAGGCGCGTTCGGGACGTACCTTGCAGGCTGTTTGTCATTTTAAATTGTGAGTCATGCCTCTGATGAAAGGTAAAATAAAAATAAAATAAACAAAACATTGCATGTATAACCGTCCACTTTTCAGAGGCTCCCTGGGACGAAAGTAAAACTTTGGCTCGATACTGCAGTAAACAAACGCGATGAATATTTATACGAGTCCACGCGTTTATAAATTATAATAACAACATGTTTATCAACAACGCAATAATATTATTCAATTCTCATTTGGACGTCATCGCTGATCCTTTTTCAACAAAAGCGCGCTATCCGTATTAATTACGGCATCATTGGGTCATCTGTCTACTGCCCATCGAAAAGTAGGAGATCCCCCCCCCAAGTCAACTATTGTGTATATCTAAAGATAACCGCGCATAGTATGTCCAGGTACATATACCTAGAGTATCCAGAGGTCGCGTCCCAGTAGCCGTTGAAAAATCCCCTTTCCTCCTCGCGTCTCTTCCCGAGAAAAGAGAAAAATAAGAGGATGAAAGAAAAAAAGAGCGCAGTCTTTCATTGGCTCGAGAGCCGAGTCGAGTGTATAACGGGTCGTCCCGTTCAGGCCGTTAAAAATCGTGCCACTAGGTATACTGTATAGCTATACCAGCGTCGCTCTTCTCTCTATATACACATATAGCTACCGCCGTTGGAGATGCCTATCTCACATATATAGACCTAAGATAGAGAGACCCGCTGACGTCGTCGTCGTGGGGTTACAACGAACGTCTGATCTTTTTTTTTACACGAATACGGTGATCATGGCACACGTACCTCGAAGGTGTTGGGAGGCAGAGAGAGATAGAGATTAGAGTTGTTTTCCTTTTGGTCCACACCCGCGGGACTAAACGTGACCTGGATATGATTCACGAGTCTCGATCTTAGACCTCGGATCCTTTGTGTTTTGTAAGGAGAGACAAAAAAAATCCTTATAATTTTCATAAAACTACCAAGGCGAGGCAATAAACGTCAATTATCCTCGAAACTGGACCAAGTGACGAGAGGTGGTATGTAGAGGACGTTCGTTTATTTGCTTACGTTCCAAGAAATATAGTATATAATATTATAGCGCACTTTTTGTTACACGTTTCATCTCGGCGTGCCTCCACGGTAATAATGACAATTAAAATAATTTTCTCCCCATTTTTAGTGTACATGATGCAGATATATTGCATTTCGGTACACACATACACCTGATTCAATAACGTCGATAAATTGCTATGATGCAACTGAGAGATTGTTTGAGCTTTCAACGAGGGATGGAGTTAGAAACTATGTATATATATTACACGGGGTAAATTTGATGAACCCGTATTTGTATAAATTGCAACTATGTATAATTATATATGTATTTGAGCTCGTGGATTGATTGGCCTGTTATTGAAAAACCACGGCACTCGTGAGCGAAGCAATTAATCATCGAACGAGGACATCGACTTTGGCGCAAAGTCATGAAAATCGATAATAGACCCATTTATGGGCAAAACCTGAGGAGGTAGGGACAGGCACAAAGACACGTGTGCATGTAATATACGTTCCGCGATCCTTTCAATTCATGCATCGGGAAAAAGCGCCTGCATGGGGGTGCTTTTACGGCAACGGCTGCAATAGGGAGTATACTATCGATAACCGATTTTTTTTCTTTATCTTCCCTCCTCGCGTTTCTCCCTCCCATCTCCATTGAGTGGTGCTGCTCTACTACACGTCGAGTGCTGGTATAGGTATCCAATACTCTGCCTCCCTTTGGAAGTGTACGTACGCTATACTAAACGTATACACTACACACACGATTTCTCGTGGAAGCTTCCCTTTGATCGTTGCCAGCGCGGCTTCGCACAGCCCCTTTGTGATGTGTCCGTGGACGACGAGACTCCGTGTGGGAGCCTAATTAAGAGTGAGAGGGAGGGCATGATATAAGCAATTAGATCCAAAGGACGAAAAATTAGTATAACACAGGTTAGTTATTTAGTTCCGGACTCGCTTCTTTTTTTTTTTTTTTTCCTATTTTGCAGTATCCATACTTGCGCTATTGATTTTCGTGGAAAAAATAAAACTGGTACATCATTTAAATCAACAAGTTACATTGTGCTCAAACGTTTCAATATTCATCCAAAGTGAAGAGTAACAACATTTTCCAACGACAATAAACGAAATAAACGATAAGCTGGACACGAGCAATCTCAAAGTGATAATCGCGCCATCGCGTAATTATCGGATAATATTAAATGTACGTTACCTCGTGTGCGTGTGTGTATTGCCTTCGTGAATCGGTCATTATCGCTATTAAGTAATTCAGGATGTACAAATATAAATATAGAGGTACTAACGGAGGAAAGAAAGAATATAATGGCCGAGTGGTTTCAATTAGCCGTGAAAACGATGAAGGAAGTGTATACACGAAAACGGGACGTGATTGTGTCTCTAGCTCGAAATACGTGTAGTTTCGTGCACTACTGTGTGCGAGCAGATAATAAGTAGGTGCTTTTTTTTTTTTTTTTTTTTTTTTTTTTTCACGTGCGAAGGCGGTATTTTTCTCTTGGGTACTGAACAACGACCACCGTTTCACACGCGTTTACTCGTTGAGCAATAATTTTTAATAACGGCCCGTTAGAGCTCAATGAATTGTTTCGACGTGATGGAATTCGAAAAAAAAAACAAAAAAGTCAGACATCATATTTTTCCAATTTTGAGTAAGGGATAGTGGGGCAGCGTGAGTTTGTAGGGTAACTCGGGCACCTCATGTACTCAATAAAAAAATTAATGTTTTTCTCTCAAATAAATTTTTTTACATTGTAAAATATCAACACTATTTTCCTCAAAGAGTATCATGATAAAAAGTAATTAAATAAATTGTAAAAATTCATAAAAATATTGTAATACATAACCCTGCGGACAATGATAGCTTCACGGCTTCTTTTTACGATAAAAGTTATCTCCAGTAATTATCTCGTGAAGTTTCTCCAATAGTCTGTTTGATTTACTTTCAAGATCCGTTGAAAAAAAATTTTTATCTTCTACCATTAAAAAGTTATATTTATTTCAAAACATGGCTTCTAGGGGACATGATGGGCACCGCGCTTGAGGCACAATGAGCCTGAGAACTCTGCGTCTGCAGCAGACGCTGTCATTCTGTTCGAATCAAAACAAGGCTGATTAACATAACCTTAGTCTTAGCTTTAAATTTCTCTAGTCTGTCTTATTTTATAAGTAAGTTTAACTGTGGATCGTGACTAAAAATAAGAATGGTGCGACGATACAAAAAGAAGACGGATAGAAAAAAGTGGTCTGAGACCGATTTATCAATGGCTATTGAATCGGTGAAAAGTGGAAAAACCATCAAAGGCAGTGCCAGTCAATACGGTATTCCTCGCGCGACACTGCAAAGAAAAATCGCTAATCCGAACTCAATTAATGCTGGTAAGCAATTGCAATATAATAAAAAAAGCTGTGTATGATTTATTTGTATGAAAAACTTACCTAACAATAAAAATTTCATCCAGGTTTCCAAAAGGTATTTTCATTGGAACAAGAAAATGCCCTTCAGATTCTGAGCCTACAATCCAAATACCTCTTTCCCAAGCCCGAAGCATCATGGAAATTCTAGTAAGTATACGAATATATTTTGTCAGCTTAATTTCAATATTGATTTGTTTATTCAATACAGCAAAAGGCAACACAAATGCATGATCCAGTTTCCATCACACCAGCAAATAAAAGTGATACGATTCCCAAGCCTCCTGTTAAACGGAGAAAACGGGGTACAGCTGCTGTTGTTACCAGTGATGAATACATTGCAGAATTACGTACTAGTCAAGACAAAAAAATTAAAAAGGATCCAAAGAAGGCAGTTCCAAAAACTAAAATTAAAAAGGAGCCAAAGAATAAAAGAATCGCCAACGTTAATCCTGTAGCTATGTCGAAGCCTTGCAATATTATACAGAGAGAACCATTAATGCAATTTAATTCGAATATTCAAAATATCACACGAAGTGATTCTTTGGTAAATTCAGTTGCTATGAATCCTATAAATTTTAGTTCTTTTTTCCTACAATCTTGAACTGGCAAGACTGAAGAGGCTTTTTACGTATATATTTCATTTTAATTAAGCTTTATTTTTATAATATTAGAGTGCAACATTGCTGTGATATTGGCATACAATTATTTGTACTAAACACAAAATTTATGAGATTAAGGCAAGATGTTTGTGGTATTAGAATAACTTAATATATAGATTGTAATGTAACTTGTGATATTACATTTAATGTACAATGATTTAACGAATAAATGTTTCATGTTTCTCAAATAAATTTTTGATGTTTGTTAAATATCATTAAAAATTAATCAATATAAATACTGTTGTTCACCTACCATCGAATTATTTTAATCATCCCGCGCTCATCGTACCCTACAGCTATGTTCACTGTGCCCGCAGGGGGGCAGAATGAGCATTTTTAAGAACTATATTTTATTATATGATAACTAATTATTTCTTGATTTATATATTTTTTATTTCGGGTAGTTTTATTCTATGTGTCACGTTCTTAAAGATGATCAGCTGGAAAATTATATTTAAGGTGGAAAAAAATTGTAAGAGCGTAATGAATAATGGGTGCCCGTCATGCCCTACTATCCCTTACAGACAAAGCTTGAACTTTATTATGCGCTGCATTTATGCAGGTTTACCCACGAGGTAGAAGATAGGAAGGGGCTGTCGTTTCGAGTTACTTATACAATAGTTCCAAAGTTCCAGCTCTTCTCCTCCTCCGACCAAGTTACTCCATGATGCCCTACTTACTCGAAAATTGTTGCACGGGTTTGACGTGGCTAACATAATAAACCACCTAATGTGGAGAAGATTGCCGTATTACCTCATAATATTAATGGACATGTATGTATGGGTGCGTGTGTGTGTGCACATTACCGCATCATCGTCGCGCCGTAATTATATGGGCTTCAAACTTTGGTGACAATACAAATGTTTGCAATTAATAACACTGGGACTATACTGTCATATTTGCTTATTGGTACATTATTCGCACCATACGACATCATACATAGGTATAACTATTTTTGTGGAAAAATCAAACTCCTTTTAATTACCGATACACGCGAGCACGATTATTTATGAGAATGTACACATTAATCATACACTTACACGAGAAAGCCGATTTTCTGCACACACGAGGAGGAGGGAGAGAGAGACTTTTATAAAAGTATCCACGCATACAGTATATAAGCGCACCTGCAACTACTTCTATTCATACAGAAAAAGGTAAAAGCCAATATAACTGTATAATTAATGACTATACGCGAGCACACGTGCGCGCGCGAATAATTAACTCGTTTTCCGTGAAGAAGAAAACAAAAAGGCGCATGCATAATTACAATAATAACATAATACATAAGCACCTGCTGTGAGTGGGCGTGCGTATACAAAAATAAAGACACAGAAGAAAGGGGTAATAGGTAGACTCGTCGCGAATCCGTGATGTACGACATTCATCTAGGTCAGCGATTCGTGTGTCTTTTATACTGCCAACTGGCGTATACGCAGAACAAATCTGGAGCTGACGAGACGAAAAAAAAAAAAAAAAACAAATCCATGTCGAAATGATGATTGTACGGTTTCGGGAAGCGTATACGTGTACTACGAACTGGAATCGGAGGGTGATTATCGAGGCTTTGTTTGCTTCGGCGCTCGTTAATACGCGCGAATAACAAATAAACGCGCAAAACGATATTCTCGGCACGGGGGGACCCACTTGTCGTTCGCACCTATGACGAAGAAAAAAAAAAAAAAAAAAGAACCAGACCCAAAACCCTAACGGTACACCCGAAACGGAGATCCAAAAAGAAAAAAAAATCGTAGCCAATGAAAAACAAACGAGACGCACAGCGCGCCTCTACATGCGTATATGTATATTTCTCTTGGACGAAAAACGGCGTAGAGAACCGTAAGCCCATCACCGTCTCGTTTAACCCACTCAAGGCCACTTGCGGAAGATATACCTGCGCAAAAATGTTGGTGTACATAATATATAAAATAACGTGTGTGTGTATATGTTGTATACGCATACCCCACAGAGAGGCGCTCGGGGATGAGAAAGTGATCCGGGTCGAGGCTATCTTTCCGCGGGTCAGCCTTGAGGGGCCGAGGGAGGAGGAGAATCCACGCCGGCTCGTGTGTAATGGGCACTCACGAAAGGGTCGAGCGCGAGGATGTAGGTATACCTACTTGTTCGCGACTCGCGCGTATATATACGTATTCCGAAAGTAAAATCGTATACGCGCTCTCGCCGCCGATCCCGTTACTTCCCCCCCCCCCTCTCTCTCTTTTGGCCGTACGGAATTTCATTTGCTTCTTCGCGCGTGTCCGAGGAATCTTATCTTTTACGTGATTGTATACAGTTTTAGCGGATATAAAAGCCCGATGTTAAGTCTGCCCCTTCGAAAATTATCGTTTATTTATATTACTTATATCGGATGAAAAACATATATATCCTCGTCTGTAGCGGTAAGTTGTAGGAGAAAAAAAAAAAAAAAACAAATAGTTTAAGACAAAAGGAAAGGAAAAAAAAAATAGCTTGCCAAATGAACCGTAAAATGTACGGTGCACCGAATTTTACGCGCCCAAGCAGCTGGTGCGCTCAGTTTTGGGAAGACAATGGATAATTAAGGATATAAACTTGGTGATGCCCATAAGTATGAAAAAGCAGGAGAGGCGCAGTTGTATCTGATGTGTACGTTGTACGAGTAAATAAGGCAAAATATACATGGACAATGGCGTTGTGGGCATAAATCGCGCGCGCGCCTTTCGGTTACCGGCTTCGAAGCAAGTATACATGTATACTTGTAATAAACGATCGGCCGCTCTTCTTATGAATGTAAATTTATGAGCTCACGCACAGTTTACTCCTTGAAAAAAAAAAAAAAAAAAAAAAAACGTATCGCCCGTGTGTTAAATCCCGTTAGGGCTAACTGGGTGCAATTGTATCGCGTGCGCGATGGGAGAGAGGGCATCCAATAAAGTAATCATTGCTCGTATGTAAAATATAGTGTCCTTATGACTGGTAGGTTTTACACGTGTAAGTTAGGTATATACCTGTATCTCGGGTAATAGAGGTGCAACGCAAGTTCATCCAATGTAAAGTACAGCAGCGCTATTGTTATAACGCGCGTATACATCGAATGAACGTAACGAAAATTCAATTGTGGCAGTAACATGGGCTGCAGATCGATGCGCATATACTTACAGATAAACACGGGATAGCTACGCGTATAGTATATATAGGTGTACGCACTTGTTCCGCGAATGCAATCGCGAGGATCTCTATTGGATTCCAATCGAATCGCCGATGATGATACCAACGGGAAAGTACACCATACGGAGAGTAATTAACACGGCGCGCCGCGCGTGCTCGGGCTTTTTATCGAATTTTGCTTTCAGCGTTGGAATCACGAGGGAAAGAAAAAAAAAAAAAAAAAAACGAAGCTTTTTCGGTGTATATAATATCTACCTACGTAATGCACGTATGCATACATCAATGATAATTCGATACAAGCAAACTGCGTATCATATAGGTACCTACTTGCATTGACCGTGAAGATCTCGAAGATAAGATCTCGTAATAGAATAACCCGAGCGAGACTCTTGCGTGCCGTGGAATTAAAACGTTGTGTTTTCCCTTGTAATGCACCGCGTCAACGATTTGACTTTCAAATGTACCCGTGCAGTATAATACACGTGCGCTCGTATATACCTATACCTACTTGCCGTCAAAATTCGGATCTTCAGGTAACACAACGACAAATGCCGATGCTAATCGCATGTACGATTGGGTACATTTATACCCTCCCACATGGAGGGAGAACACGATGAACGAGGAGGAACAAAGTAATAGACATCCTTATTGCCCATTGCATCGATTCATGTAGGCCCTATTGGGATACGTGTACTCCGTGGGCATGTAATTTTAGATCGAGATCACGATCCCATGCACTTGTTCGTGGAGGTACGTTGTACACCCTCCCCCCCATTCATATACATACACCTATACCTGAAGCATATTCGTATACTTTGCGCGAGTCGTGCACTCGCTACCGGCAGCATCAAAACTTACCTAATATACTTACAGAGTGAGAGAGAGAGAAGAAACAGTAGCAGCGGATGAGAGAGCGAGCACACCTGCCGGGCGTGAACATCGACCCGTGAGGTTCCCGTAATAACTGTTGCCTTTCGTAATCCATCATCATGATCATCCATCCTCTGTCGTTCTCGATTCTCATCGCGATTAACAAAGTAACGTGCGCGTAACGCCAAAACAACGAAAAATCGGCGCCCGAGATCGGTATGGGCGTTCAAGCTCCACCGGCGATCTTTTCTGGAGCAAAAAAAGACGATCTCGAGTCGAAGGATATTAAGTATATAGGAACGCGGCATGTATATGCTCATATAGGTATAGAATATGCGTACCCGTGAGCGCGAGCACGTGATACGAGGAGAAGGAAAGAAACGGAGATCGGTAAGAGGAATTAAGGAGTGTATAAGATTGTATCCTTTACTCGTATGTAGAGCGTTTGGGCTTGACTCTATAGAGACCTCATATATTATATGCCGCGTCTTATTCGCGATCTCTCGTCTTTTGTATGATAATAATAATAATAATAATAATAATAATAATAATAATAATATATATGATAGGAGAGGGAACGAGGAAAGGCGAGGCTCTCTCTCTCTCTTACACAGAGTTGGGGGAGAGAAAGAGGCATAACGGTACGCTGTTAAGTGTGTAACCAAGAGGTGGTGTGTTATATATATATATACGTGTGTTACATTGTGCTCTTGTACTATTAAAGGTGTATACATATGCGAGTGTACGGAGAAGTGGCGCAAGTGAGACAGAAGCCATTGTGGTACGTGAGTGGCTCGAGAGTTGTATACGTTATAAGTATAATACGTGCAATGCATGCGGTGCACCGTGTGCGTCGGACAAAGCGGGCCAGAGAGTGTGTGCGAGCAGAGTGCGAGCATTGCAAGTATACTTATATACTTATGGGTGAAAGATCGGCACGCGAGTGCGCGTATATATATATATACACTTAGTCGAGAGGTGAAGAGGGAAAGATGATTTGATATGCGAAGTGCTCGACGGTATACTTAATAAGGAAAGTCGAGTGGAGAAGTGTGGAATGAAAAGAAAAAAAAGATGAACGAGGATGTTGCTCCTTTTTTGAGGATGATTCCGTGCGCGATAGGGGGTATTACGTGTGTATACAAAGTTGCGTGTACGCGCTATTAGCATCGAGGGACGATCTCGATTTTCGTAATTTCGGATTAGGCGTATGTACATCCGCGCTCCCTCGCGTGGGATAATCAGGTTGGTGTTGTGAAACGGTGTTTCGTACCTATACGTATGGGTATGAAATATTAAACGTGGATTTTTCGCAGTGATTCCGTAAGGTCTCTCGGAGAGAGAGAGAGAGAGGGAAAGGATGTTTTATGCACGATTCGTTGAATAACCAACGTCACAATCCAATCTTCCGAAGGCAAGCCCGTGGATTAATTGTTCAAATGGCTTTTTGCGGTTTTCGGTAGGAATACATATATACGTATATATATAATATATCGTACAAGGCGGAGAAAAGCCCGCGAGGGGGAAAAATAATTACGACACCGAGGGAAATGCACTTGGACCGGGAGGCACGTGGGAGGCGGGCAAAAAGTTTTACCTTTATACACGTAATTTTACAATATTCCGGGAGCACCGCACGGAAAACATTAGCCGTACAGTTTTACGCGATGTATATTATACTGTGCGCGGGCCTAAAAGCGTATATAATATATAAGCTCCAACTTTTTTTTCCTGTCCCTCCGTTGGAAGCTAATTGGATTTTTAGGTGGCGGGTAAATTAAAAAATTAATCAAGCGTTTGCCGCGTACTCTACAGGTGTAATGAGTATCAAAGTAACTTTTTACTTTGGATCACCCTTTTTTTTTTTTTTTTTCATTTAAAATACCTATTATATATTATTTTAGACCAGAAAGCTTCATAGATGAACTTGGTTGATAAAATAACCGCAAATAAGGGGAAATAGTCGGGGTGTAAGGGTGGATCCGAGGCCACGGCCAAACCACTGATGAACTGTACCGTCCATGGTTTTCCATCGAAACAGTAAATAAACTTTCGTCCCAAAGTATAAATAACAACAAATAAGGTCCCATTTTACAGGAAAAAATTTCCCACAAAAGTAACCACCCGTTATCTATATATATGTACAACCAAGAAACAGCACGCGTGATGTACCTATATGCATTGGCGAGCCTTGGCATGTATATTATTTTGCCTCTCACCGAATCCCTTTTCCATCTCGCGTTCGCTTTGTGCATCGGAGGGACAGTACACGTAGTCTTTGGTAAAAGGGAGGCTTTACGACCAACAAAAACTTCAGCAGAGAGATATACTTAGTTTTTAACGAGATCCAACGCGACCACGACGGGGACAAAAGTGTGCACTCTCTCTCTCTCTCTCTCTCTCTCGGGGATCAACGACCCTACAGACCAATGCATAGAAGATCTCGTTGTGCATTTACGTGTAACTATATAGGTATGCACGTATAGGAGCGAAGCCGCGAAATGATGGATGGATTAGCCCTCGACGGCGAGGGGGTGCTCCCGTACACACGTAACTCGGCGCTCCTCCGTCGACAATCAACGCGCTGGCTCCGCTTGCGCAACTCTTCGAGAGAACGGCGCATAGAGAGTGCAGTATTTTTTGTATGAAATTTTATGTGTATGTACCTAGTGCGGTTCACCGCGCGGTTGTTGTGCAAAAAGGACAATTCGAAAACTGAATAGCATAATCGAGGGGGGGGGGAGTGAGGGAGAGAGAGCGACACAATGATTGTCTTTTTCTCGCGTTGAGGAAAGGAGGGGGGGGGGAAGAAATAGCGAGGTATGATGGGTGCAGCTGTTTTTTGATCGAGAAATCGTGGCTGTATGATTACGCGGTGCGAACAATCGGCGCGCACTTTTACTCGTCCAAGGTAACTCGAATTAATTTTGTACAGCCCCATCCCCCTGCTTTTCCCAGCTATACGTACAAACAAGTTTCAAAGTTCAGCGGTCCATGGAAAGCAAAGTTTTTAAATTATAAATATCACTGCGTCCACGCAGTTTCGCTAAGTTTTATAAAACTTCGAAAAAAAGCGACGAATAATCCATTACCCAGCGGCACGATGCTTACTATTATACAAAGCAGTTTGGAAAACGGCTCTTTAAATTAACGACAATAAGTTCGTGTAGCATAGTATCGGGAAACATACGTATAGGACATGGTACTCGAGAGCTTTATCGCAATTTACAGCGCGCCGGTGTGCGTCGTGGCTGAGGAGCAGTAAATAACTTTGAAAGGTGTGCCGCCATTGGCTGACTGATGGCTTTTACAATTTGGGCACGGTAAATTGGGTATTATACTGGGTGGTACTGAAAAGCGACTATTTACCGTCTAAAAGACACACGGTGTATAATACATAATGTATATACGTATGAGTTGACAGATTGGATTTTACGACGAGTTAATTGAATAACGTATTATCCCAAGGTATCCGTTATATAGGAGGTAGAGTGAAGGAGACGATGAATTTCGATAGAACCGCAGTATATGTAATTACACACGCTCGAGTGACTGATTCATCGATTACGAGGAGACAATGGTTTCTGTACATCTGTATGATACAAAAGTACAGTTTATCGGAAGGAATCGAGCTTCCTCCAGAGAGAGAGACGAGGAAAATTTATTTCCTCTCCTTCTCCCGGCCGTCACCGAGACTCGCGACAAATCCAATTAACAGATAAATAAAGTCCTGCTTCCGAACGTTCCGGCTCAAATTAACAGCCGCGACTCCACTGTTGTACGTGTATGGCTCTTGGGCGTACAAAAAGCGCCACCTTTTGCAGCAATCTCTGATGTATAATATATAGGGTACGTGAAATCTTTCGGAGCAAAAAAAAAAAAAAAAAACTATCAAGAAAACGTAATTACAGTGTAGTTACTTATAGTCGACAATCGGTGCATTTCGTACGGGATTTGCGACACATCGGTTATCCCTGAGCCGTTGCGTGTGTCGTCCACTATATGTATACTCGAGGAGAGAAAACAGGGGAGAGTCTACCGTATACACCGCACTTGGTCCGATCGATGGGTGGGAGCTGCGAGACGTATAAAGACGCGCTACAGAGTATGTACAGGTACATATACATATACAATGGGTGCAGTGTGTTGGTGCGGTCAGTGGACCGATTAGAGCGCGTTTTCTGCACCGATGCGAAATTACTTCCTCGGAAAGAAAAGAGAAACGATATTATCGACAGCCCTCGTTGTTTCCTCTGTTCTGCCGTTGACGTCGTGTACGTACGATTGTCGCTTTATTATTACTATTTTTTTTTTCTCTCTATACACACTTGAGCGTCTTTGGTTGACGAATAGAAAGATTGGGCCATCTTCTTATATCTTTTCATTTTTTTTCCTATGATTTCTCGGGCTGGCTCAGTCAGTACATATAGTATACACTCTATATGAGAACACAATAGAAAAAACAGAGAGCGTGTTCGAGTGTTCAAGGTATTTATGTATATGTGTATAAACAGAGAGTCCGTTAAAATGACAAAACTTTGGAAAAAATGAAAATAAAGCCAATAAACAAACTTTTTTATTTGTTTTTTCTTTTCTTTCAATTGTCAAATCATTAGGAAAACATTTATGTACTTTCGATGAGTGTAGCGTTGAAGAGAATATTAATTTCCCGAAACAAAGAAAATCAAGGGCCGCGGCGTATAAGTAGTAGCACAATAACATTTTCGCCTGCCGTACGTACACAGGTACGACTGGAAAACTCTTTCTCCCACGCGCGCAACACATGAACACCGTACCGTGAGTACGTATATACATGCACACTCGCGCAGCCCGTGAAAGAAAAGTAACTCTCCCAAAGCCCAGAACTATAGTGATTTGGGGGCGCGAGAATACGTATGTATACATGTATACACCCACACCTTGTAATTAATGCCTTGTTTACGCCTTGGAGCACAACAACCTGCCACGGCAACCCGAGCAATTTCGTGATAAGCCTTAGCTCGCTCGTCACCAAAAAGAAAAAAAAAAAGAAAGATATGTTCCGAGGCGAAATTTCGCGAGCTTGTTTTTTCTCCCCCCACCCCCTTTTTTCCCGAACGAGTGCGCCTCGATAAGTGTCCGCGATAAGATGTTGGCCCGAGCTGCGCTGCCACACGTGCTCGGCGACTTTTTAACTCCGAGTGCAAAAATACCGGGGAACGGCGACGCCGACCCATAAGTATATTTGCACTGCGGGATGGAGGGACCTTTTCTTTTTTTTTCTCTCTTCGCCAACCGAGTCTGTAATTTTCATTTGGGGATCGGGTTTTTGCGAGTCGGAGCACTCGGAAGATACGGCCGAAATGAAGATTGCGATCTTCGGAAAAGTTCGGCAGCCCCGGTACGTATATATACCTATGCTCCGTTGTAACTACACTGTACAAATGGAGCTTCGACTGTTTATGGTTTTAGTTTCCCTGTGAAATTCAATTTGTATAGAGTTGCGATAAACATCCAACTATATCATCATCGCTTTGAGCACATTTGCGACATGTAGTAAAATGTAAACAAATATATAAATATGTCCGATTATCTTTTCAGATCTCGGTGAGCACGGTGAGCACGCGACGGTTCAGCCGAGCGGGCACGCCGAGCTCGATCCTATCCTCGGACAGCGACATCCGGTTCACGCGCAAACTGGGCAGCCAGTACAGGTGCGGCTGTTGCGTCCTGGCCGCCTTTCTGCTCTTCCTCCTCGTAGCCGGTGTCTCCGTCTACCTCGGATGTGAGTATTATTATTTGCACAAGAGTGACTTTTATTGTTTCCACGCTTGGACTGTTTCGAGCTTTCGAAAGGCGGGAAAATTTAAAAAAAAAGGGAGGGGGAAGAGCTTTTCGGAATGAGCTTTCGAGAAGTCGTCGGAGCGTTGCGCGGAACAATGCAGCTTTCGGGCAAACTACAGTTTTTACAAACTACTTTGCTCCTCGTGTATGCAAATCCATTACTCGCGTGTACCTACTGATGATTATTACGTGCGCGTAGTGTGCCGTTTAACGTTGCAGCTTTTAAAAAAATGATGTATCCCTAGAACCCGAATAACTTTACGGGTGTAAGTGGGCGCTAGCGAGAAACAGAGACAAAAGGAAGAGCGTGAAAGACGCATAAAGAGGGAGGGGGGGCGAGAGTCAAACTCCGTATATAGACACTCTCTCTGCCTCTCTTGCTCTGGTATCTTGAATAAATTAAGGCGCGAGTGCACACGAGAGGCAAAAGCAAAGTTCAAGGCAATATGCAAATACCGCGCTTATACTTATACATGGTAGCACAGTTAGTCGAACTATTTCCAACAGGTTATACGAGAGAGAGAGAGAGGAAGACTGGGGGGGAATCTGCAAGTGGCGCGGAGAGAGCGAGAACCTGTCCCCCGAAAAATCGAGTTTCGATTAATTTTTTCTTTTTCTTTTCTTTTCTCGTGTTATGGCTCCGTTGAATATTTAGCTGCGGGATTGAATCACCGAGGAAAAAGGAAATTCCTACTTTGATGTACTTTTATCCTTGTTGATCAGCGTCGATTCATGTAGGGTGCAAGTATGGAGTTGAAGCAAACTTGTTTTTCATAAAAAATAATCTCGGACGCACAAAAACATAGCTTTTTGGTCCTTGGTTCGTAAAGAGAAAAAAAAAAAAAAAAAAAAAAAAAAAAAAAAAAAAAAAAAAAAAAAANNAAAAAAAAAAAAAAAAAAAAAAAAAAAAAAAAAAAAAAAAAAAAAAAGCACTCCGAGTCCCCCATAACTCAAATCGACATTTTAATCGAGACGTCAGCCTAGAGCCGAGCATTCAATAAGGAGCCCGGGGAGAGCGGAGCGTAAAAAACAAGGGAGCGAGCCTTCCGGCCCGAAGAAAGCGATTTCCTGCTCTTGTCGCATTGCAGCCCCTCGCCCTCCCCTAAAAACAGAAGAGAAAGAAAAGAAAAAGGGAAAACCCCCCCAAAGAAAATGCAAAGAGCCAAAGAGCGACCCGCGCCCAAAGAGAATTTCCATCTCGCGCACATCGCCCCGGGAGACCCGCGCCAACGGAATAAAACAGCCGAGACAGCGATCAACCCCCTCCTACATACATATGTATACACATACGTATAAAATAGGTGATTAAAGACGCGCGGGGATAATCGATGGTCGAAGGGGAGGCTGTAATCGTCGGCAATCGACGGTAATGAATTCGAGTGCCCTTCTTTCCTCCGCGACAAGTGCGCCCATCGAAAGTTCAATCCCTCGAAAGCTCTCTCTCGTACGTGTACCTATATCATTGCATATAGTTTACCTGTAGCCCGCGGGGGGTCAAGTGGGCGTTATTAACTTTGAAACAAGTGCTCCCTCTCTCGTTTAGTTTTCACGAGCTGAATTTTCATTTCTTTTTCTCCCGAGCATTTTCAAAGCTAAGCACGCGCAGAGAGAGAAAGAGAGAGAGAGAGAAAGTGTGTATGTGCAGTGCAGGCACCAACGGTGGGGAAAAAATTTGCAGAGTCATTGCTCGCGTGGCATTTATTTTAGCGAGTGTCTCCGGCATGGCCTTGAAAAAATTCCACGGGTCTTTCGAAAGCACGAAAATCAATGTAAAGTATGTGTAACTCACGATGCTCATCCGTATAGCGACGTTTTTGCTGTCGGATGTGCCAAACGACCAGGTGTTCCTGGCGACGTTCCGGGTGACCGGAGGCGACGCGTTCACCCCCGAGCTGGCGGACCCCGGCACCGAGTCGTTCCGGCAGCGGTCGCGCATCTACCGGGACCGGCTGAACTTGCTGTTCCGGCGCAGTCCGCTGCACCTGCCGTTCGTCGCCGCCGAGATCCTTGCGCTGGACGGGTGAGTACATTATGAGTTACGCCTGAAAAAGTCCCGTGTCGTCGTGGAAAAAATGATCCCGTTCTTCCACTCCAGCGGTCAAGTAAATCGGCAGGGAGGAAAAAAAAGATAGACGGTGGAATTGATGGATCGGAACGCGCGCGGGGGGTATTCAAGGAACCCGCCGAGCCGTGACGCGAGCCTCTCCCGATACCGATCCCTCCTGATCGCGCTCCCGTTTGCGATTCACCGAGACGATAATTGTCGTGTACGCTTGGGAGCTTTTATCGCACGCGCTAATTGTTCGCGGGGGCTTTCTGGCTCGTTTCCAATATTATACATATATATATATGGGAGGGCGAAGGGGGGAGCGGTCCCATCTTTGGACGACATGGTGTACACGTAAAAAGCTCGGCGTGTCGATGTAACGCGTGTAGCCAACTGCGCGGAAAAATAATTGTCTTTCATCCGGATAACCATACGTACATATATGGTAGGTGCATGGATACTCGAGGGAGAAAGAGTCCATTGTTTTTGAAAATAGACGCAGAAGGAGTTCGGGTAATGAAGCTACAACTTTCTTCCAAGGGGAAAACTCCGTCTCTCTCACTCTGCGAGGTATACACGTATATATAACGAAGCAGCAGCGCGGGCAATAAAGTTTTTGATTAAAAGACCGGATTCGGGAATTATTGTGCGACTCATCCTCTTTGTGTCTTTTTCCCTCTTTCGCTCCCTTTTGATGAGCCATTATGCTGCTGCTGTTGTTTACCGCTCCTCTGCTTATCAGTTTTCTTCGAGCAAAGTTTCTTCGGACGGTCTATCTATTGAATATACAACGGCAGTTAATTAACGGCTTGGTATCCGCCTCTGGGAGGTGAATAAAAAAAAAAAAAAAAAAAAAGAAAAACTCGTAATTGGAATACAGATAATCCTCGTCGATAGGGTCAATTAGCGTTCATTATTCAGTTCGGGGATTATTGGGTTGTACCTGTTTAAGTAAATCTCAAGCTCGGTTATTCCATAAAATCATTTGCATGAACTGTACACGAGTTCACCAACCGTGGATGTTTCTAAACAAATATAGGAAAAAAAAAAAAAAAACGAGTACGGGCGGCTATGCTATAGGACGGTAACAAGATACCTCGTCGCTCTACTCCGTCTCTCTGTACACATGCGTACAAGTATAGGGTATGTAAAAGACTCGGGGCGTTTAAAGTTTCGTACCGACTTTTATTTTACCGTTCGAGTTTCTCATTGTCCCTATGGTGTGCACGTAGATCCGCGCATAAAATGCATCCAACGTAACATATTATATATCTTACAACGAGAGACACCGGATGACGTATCGTGTGTGCGCGCGAGCATGGGCGGCTTTTCCAGCTCTTGTACATACAACATTCCATTTGCAAGACGAGCTTGAGCTTTTGTAGAAAGCGAAGCAAAAAAAAAAAAAATTTATTTAAATGGCCCACTAGTGTCGAGAACCAGTACCTCATGGTGCACTTTGACCTGCGCTTCGACGTGCGCTACGGCAGCGTGGACGCGAGCGACGTGGTGGCGGTGCTCGCCCGGGAGATCACCGGTCCCCGGTACCTGCTCAACCTGACGATAGACGCATCGAGCCTCGAGGTCCAGGAGAGCGCGAGCGCCGCCAACAAGCTGGCCCTGCAGACAAACTCGAGCGGCAATGATCGGCCAAACGAGCCCCGGGTGCCGAGCACGAGTCCCAGGCCACCGAGGCGCTGCTCGCCCATCGAGTTCTCGTACTGCAAGCACCTGCCCTACAACTCCACCTCCTACCCGAACTTTGTCGGGCACGCGAGCTCCAGGGAAGTCCACGAGGACATCATAGCCTTCAGGTAAGTTTTTTTTTTTATCCCCCAACCCCCCTCTCTCTCTATCGGCAAATCTATACCAATGATAATCGTCACTACCCCCTGCAGGGAACTGGTGGACGCCGAGTGCTACAAGCAGGCGTACGATTTTATCTGCCAGGTGTTGCAGCCGTCCTGCGTGGAGAGCGACGGCGAGGAGGAGGAGGACACCCTGAGCCCGCCCTGCCGCGGCTTCTGCGCCGAGTTCTGGGCCGGGTGCGGCGGCCGGGTGCCCGAGAGGCTCAGGGCCGCCCTCGACTGCTCGAGGTTCCCCGAGTACGCGGACGAGGGCAGCTGCCGGCCCAAGCCCGGTACGTGCACCCCCTCCCCCCATATACAATTTATACATATAGTAAGATGGCTCATACGTGTGTACAAGTGACTATAATATAACTCGTTCGAGGGTATAGGTTGCATACGGGAGTTGAAGGCCAACGCGTTGTCGTCGCGGTTGTGCGACGGAGTGATCGACTGTCCGGACTTTGGTGACGAGAGGGACTGCGCCTACTGCAGGGACGGGCAGGTGCACTGCGGCGTAGGGGCGGCCTGCGTGCCGCGGCACAAGCGCTGCGACGGCAAGGCCGACTGTCCGAACGGCAGCGATGAGAAGGACTGCCGTGAGTACACATACTATATGATATATATCATATACACGTCATAATTATATCGATCCTCATGTACACGAGGGTGTGTCATGGTGCACGTTATAAATACGTGCGAGTCTCGTTGGCTCGAGGAGGGTTATTGGGTGTCCGTGGAATATATATATATATATGTAGTTTTTTTATAAGAGGGAAGGAAAGAGGGAGAAAAAAAAAAAAAAGAAAAAATGTTTTCGATTCAACAGTGTCACTAGCCCCGAGCTTGAGGTCGTTGAAGCTGCAGCCAAAGGAGAGCGTGCAAAGCTCGCGCTACTGGTCCGAGGGCTACGTCGTGTTCAACGAGAGGGGCAGCCTCGGCAAAATCTGCACCGAAAACTTGAACGAGACCCTCTCCGACACGGAAATGCAATCGGTCCTCCAGACCACCGCGAACTCTCTCTGCAACCTGCTCACTTACGAGTTCGTATACCCATACGTATAATTGTGCTTGTGAGCGCGTTTTCTACGATTAATTTATTCGTTTCGTGGTCATTTTTTAATACAGCTTATTTGCCACGGTTTTAATTCGTTCGAAATACTTTAATCACATTTTTTGGCTAATAAAGTTTCGTTTTCAAGTGACCATCATTTTTCTGACTCGTGATTAAACCTATATCGGCACAAACAAAGTATAAAATAAATCCCGAAGGCATGAGAGATTTTCGGAACCGTGTGATTTTTTTTTTTTTTTTTTTACGTATACGTGAAACCGTCACGCATTTCCTTGTTATTCCTATGGAGTTTTTTTTCCGTTTTTTAAATGTATTTTGTTTTGCATCACCTAATATAAAATTGAAAGACAAAAGCAAACATTGGTCGGACGATCGTTTACACGCGCTATATATGCGTATATGTTATGCATGGAAGTGCTATAAGTGTTAATCGGCATTAACATGTGACACTTGGTTGGCCTCACAGGGGCGTCAAATCGGTTGAGGTGCGAACGGACGAGGAGGAGGACGTGCCGTACGTCCTGATGCAGGACCCCACGGCCCCGGAAATCACCTTCGTTAGAGCGGCCTGTCCGAGCAAACAGGTCATGTACGTCCGCTGCGCCGAGCTCTGTGAGTTTCTCTTTTATTTTCGGAAATTTTCTTTTCCACTGTCCCCTCCCCCACCCACCCACCCACCCACACAATCCCCGTGCATTCTCGTTTCCTTCCTTCCGTCCTTTTGCAACATTCGATTGGAACAAAGTGTATCTAAACTCTTATTCCATCCTTCTTCTCTTTTTTTTTTTTTTTTTAATTTTTTTCAAGTTATTTTCTGCCTCGATGGTCAGAGTTGTACAGTTGTACCGACCATTCCTTTATATACCTGTCCATAAACGAAAATATACTCCCTTTGGAAATTAAAATTCGTCACAAAATGTTGTGATGGCAAATGTATTGAACAACAAACAAATAGATACATCCCCGAGAAAATCAGCTCGAGAACGAATCCGTGTACGCACTGCTGTTCTAAAAATAAACATACGAAAAATAAGGAGTCACCCCCCCCGTTCATCATAGCCAGTTAACATGAGTCTCGCGCGTGTGTCCACAGCTTGCGGGGTGCAGGGAGTGCGAAGCAACACCAAAGGATCAGGGGCGACGAGGAGCCTGGACAAAATATCCGGGCCTGGGGACTGGCCCTGGCACGCGGCTCTCTTCAAAGAGGAGAACCACGTCTGCGACGCCACCCTCGTCTCGGCAAATTGGCTGCTCACCACCTCCTCCTGTTTTCAAGGGTGAGCGCTCCCTTTATCGGCCCACCTCTTTTTTTTTTACCTCGTACACACTTGCACACGCCCACAGCTTTTGGATCTTCAAAGCCGAGATCGGTCGCGTCGCTTTGAAGCTGATGCGGCTATCACATTTATTTTTCTTTTTTTTTTCTTTTTTTTTCATCGGAAGAGAGGGGTACACTATATATTTTCATATCGCCGTCGTTTGCTACGCGAGTCGACTCTGGTCTGAAAGGCCAGTTGTTGGGTAAAAAAGTCATTGGCTGATGTTATTGTTATTATTTTTCGACCCTCGTTGCACACGCGCGCAAAAATCGTGAAAAATGTAACGAGCCCGCGCGGGGTTGGAAATTCCCCAGGCAACCGGAGGTGGAGTGGACGGCGCGGCTGGGCACGGTGAGGCTGACGAGCAGCTCGCCCTGGCAGCTGGAGCGCCAAATCGTGGGTATGGTCAAGTCACCGGTGGAAGGCAGCACCGCCGTTTTGTTGAAGCTCGACCGAACGCTCGCCCCGTACTCGGACTTTGTCAGGCCCGTCTGTCTGCCGCCGAGCGGCGAGCTCATCGTCAACGCCACCCAGTGCAACACCCTCGGCTGGGCCAAGAACCGTGAGACCCTATACCGACAAATTTACGAGCTTTTATTTTTTCCCCCACGCAGCTTTTTTCTAAATCTCGTGAATTTACAGGCGATCTGCTGCAAAGGGTGCAACTGAGGTACAGCGCGATGGAGATGTGCGAGAACGTCAGCATAGCTTCGGTGAACAGCGTGTGCACCGAGGCCGTGTACCCGAGCGACGATTGCACGGTAAGCCGATATTCATACGGAGTGCAAACGAGAGGGACATAAAATAGATACAAATACATCATGTTTATTTGTTTATTTGGCATTGCAGGAAGAAGAGGTGGCCGGGAGCCCGATACTGTGTCAACTGCCCGGCAACCATAGATGGGCGATTTTGGGGGTGAGCAGTTGGCGCATCGCCTGCTCAAAGTCCGGGATAGAGCGGCCACGGCTGTACGACCAGATATCCTCGAACCTCGCCTGGATCAGATCGACCATTGACTGAGCACTTCCGCGCGCAATAGCCCCGAACTTTTTTGTACATACGGATACTTTTTTTTTTTTTTTTTTTTTTTTTTTTCCACTCGTTCGGCGCGATGGAGAGCTATACACTTTGGTTCAGGGAATCGAGTTGGTGGCGAAAACCATAAGATTACTTTTTAACGACAATTGTATCGAGAGAATATTTTTTTATACAAGATTATACATGTAAGTAAGGTCCCCAAGATGTTTTTCGCAGTGCAGATACATTGTATTGCGTATAATATTATGTAGACGCTTGTCCGATGTACACTCGAGAGTATATACAGAAGTAAAGTTAGTTACCGAGCGAATTTCCAACGAGAGCCCTAATGGTGTGCTCGAGTTTGCTTCTTCGCGGTTTATTAAATTTACAGTTGGACGAGGAAAAACTTTGTGAGCCAAACAAATGGGAAAAGTTTTTTTTTTCTCCCCCTATACTCGGTACACGCGGGACAAATTGCACTCGCATTGAATAACGTCGATCGTAAAAGATTAAATTCGTGACAATCGGCGTTTCCCGCGAAAGGCCGAGTAATTAATAACTGGTTCGCGTCACGCGGCAGCGGATCTGAATCGAAGCGTCGCTCATTTGCCCGTCCGCGCCCCGTTTCAAAGTCGCAATCGGAACATCACCGGAACGAGCGGGGAAACAAACACAATTAGCAGCTTTCCGAGCGACAGCTCGGCGAAAGCCTCCGGGTTCATTTGCGCGAATGAGCGCTCGGGCCTCGAGAAAATTAATCATCCGCCCGAAAACTGTGTATGTACATATACATATATCACATTAAATTTACTGGCGTATACTTTATACTTATTCTTAGTGCGCCGTTCTGATGTTATATTTTGACGGTTTTCGTTGTTGTCCGCGCGCGTTACGAATTCGTGAATTTATATATACATATACACGTGCATGTGGAGACGAAAATATTGTATCATACGATAAACGAATGTTGCGACGTTACATTTCTGCGTTACGCGTAATTATAAGTATACATAATCCCTGATATACATAATTATCATACACGCAGTACGAAATTTTTTCTTATAAACCGCACATGTTTTAAAGATAAGTTACCCTAAGTAGGGAGCGTTAAATAATAGCGCACGTAGAGCTTTTTTTGAGCAGGGTGATGTACATTTTTGTATGATTTTACAATTGGTTTGTTATGATGTAAAATATTATTAATAATAATAATAATAAAATAATCTTTGTTAAAAAAAAAAAAAAAAAAAAAAAAAAAAAGAATCGGAATGTTTGGATTAAATTTTCGCCCATCCCGCGCATCCTTGAGGGTATTTATTAAATCCATCCTTTTTCCCTCCCTCGATGGGATGGTAAAATGTAGCGATAAAAGTGGAGTTTCCCCCCGCGTAAAGGGGCGTATAATTCAAATTTGGCGCTACAACGTGTACACGTAAGTATACATCATACGAAGGAAGGAAGGAAGAAATCGATTCTCGCGAGCCGCGCCGGGAAAAGTTTGTTCTCCTAGCAACTGAAGTCTCCGTAATACACCCTCCGCATATACCCGCAGCCAGTAAGTAAGCAAGCGAGCCCCGCCACGGGTGTACATAATCGTACCTACTCCCCTTTGGCCCGTACTTTCATCAATGTTTCGCTTTTGTTATTTCAAACGGGGCACACTTTGCCTCTCGTAATTAATATTCATCCGTTGCAGTCGGGTCAAAAGAGGACACGGGGTAAGGTACATGTATAATAATAACTGTAGGCAAGTCGCGCATCTTTTAACGGTGACATAAACACGGATGTACTAGCTCGCCCCTTTTCCTCCTGGCACAAAGAAATAACTTTTCCGTTTCCTTAAAAATGCAAGCTCTTATTTATTTATAAAGCTACGTATCTATGTATTACCTTCCGCTTTTACTGACCTAGAACTTTTTATCCTCCGCGTGCCATCAGAAGTCGCGACATCCCTCGGATATATATACCTACTTGTCCGCGCCCGAGAGGGGCAAACTCGGGTTTTCTCCCGTGCACGCGTACCTACATGTATATCAGCAGCTGTACCAAACCTATATTTCCACCACCCGAGAGATACCTTGAGGGGGCCGGTACAACGCGTCTCTGGAATATGAATTCGCTCGAGAAACCGGAGCCACGTGCAAGGGATGTGCCCCTTTTTCATTCCCCCCTGCAGTGGACGCGCGATGGGGAAAAATCAACTCCACCCGCGCGGTATGTAGGGGGTGGATCTATTTTTCGGACCTCCGCGGAGAATTTATCGTCCGGTTCGACGTGGAAGAAAAACATCCTGGAAAATCGGTGGACTTGCGAATGGCCGCGTTGTTTGCCACGCGGACGCGGTAAACGAGAAAAGATTCATCTGAAAAGCGGAGAGGTATTTTGTTTTGCAGATTGGGAAGAAAGTTTGGCAAAAACCCTTCAGTGTCAATCCAGCCCTGGGGTAAGGAGCGGCAGTAGCAAAGCATGTCCGCGGGGAAGCCAACGACGTGCAAGGACGCGGTCCGCCGGTGGGAGGAGGAGAACAGCCAGGAGGCGAGCTCGGCCCTCGAGGTCAGTCTCATCTTCCAGTCGCCGCCCATCGAGCGCATGGACAACTCCCTGGCCGTCCTCTCGTCCTGCGAGCGGCTCTCCCTGTCCACCAACATGATCGAGAAGATAGCAGGTTACCAACTCCACTAAAATTTGACTTGTTACAAGTTTATTTTACTTGTTGTCGCGCAACACGCGTGCAGCAAGAGGTGATGTTTAACGAAAGCTTGAAAAAGCTTGTCCATACGCGTTACAATATATAACGCGCAGAGCGTTGAAGGCCATTCTTTTTTTTTTTTTTTTTTTTTTTTCGATCTGTCACTCGGTTTGACCATGTAATAGTATGCACGAGAGGGATATAGAGATGAAGAGAGACTCGGATTTCAGGTGTAACGTGTATATTATATACACACTCGTTGCAGCCACTTAGTAGGTTGTACCTACTTGGAAACTACGTAAAACACGAGGCTCTTTCATTGCAATCGGCGATCGGCAAATTATTGCTCAATGTATAATATATGATAACACAACGTGTTTGCGTATAAGATGCCACATTTCAGATATACGTGTTTGTGTTTACGTGCAAATGACGTTATGCATCGTGTACTCGATTCCCTCGCGTTACGGAAGAAAAGAAGGAAAAAAACAAAACAAAGTTTTACCGACTTGTAAACGCGTGCTCATTAGTTAGGATGAATCATAAAACGTGGCTACATCGCAGAAATAATAAAAGTATACCTAGACGGCATTACGTAAAATTAGCGTGATGATATACATAAATATATACCTAGATGCTGATAGCGTAAAATGCGATTAGGTGTGAGCAGCCTGAAGAAGCTGAGGGTCCTGTCGGTGAGCAGGAACCAGATAAAGGGCTTCTCGGGGCTGGAAACACTGGGCGACAGCCTGGAAGAGCTGTGGATCTCGTACAACGCGATCGAGAAGCTGAAGGGAGTGACCGCGCTCCGGAGCCTCAAGGTGCTGTACATGTCCAACAACCTCGTGAGGGAGTGGAACGAGTTTGCCCGGCTTCAAGAAATGCCGAGCCTGCAGGATCTCGGCTTCACCGGCAATCCCATCACCGACGGCTTGGAGGCCGGTCTTTTTCCTTCATGCTTTTCATACAACATACACCCTTCCGAATGGCCGATCCATTGCAATGATCGTCGAATTTATCGCCCCAAGGCCAACTTTGGGAGGAAAATGAATTTTTATATAATACATGAACAAAGACGCGAAATTACCCTCTGGCCCCTGTATACGTACACGATGCACGAAAGCGCGGCGAAAATTATACCGGGCGCTACACGAGCTAAATTCCGTCCACCACCACCGGCCCGGCTCCCCCCCCCCCCCACGCGAATTATTCAAGCTTCAAAGTGCGAGATAACTCTCCTCTCTCCAGCATCATCATCCCGTGTAAATATGTTATAGACCCAGCGCTATTCTCGTGAAGGTTAATTTTCGTCGGGCATCATGGTACAGCCTCCAAATTATACTTGGTTTATGTACATATTTATTTGTTGTTTTTTTTTTTTTTTTTCTATGCAATATATAGTTTTATTGTTGTCATTGTTGTTACTTTTTTTTTTTTTTTTTTTTTTTCTCTAATTTTATGCAATAGTAATAACGATGATGATGATGATGATAGCAACTTGTCGTTACAGACCGAGCAGTGGAGGACGGAGGTGGCGAGGCGTCTGCCGAACTTGGTCAAGCTCGACGGGGAGCCGCTCATCCACGCCGGCGGTGTCGACGACCAGACGGGCCAAAAACAGCAGACCGAAGCCCAAGCTCCTCCTCAATGACTATTATACATTATACATGATGTTTTATTAATTCCCACTCGCGTTTATCGGCTGTTGTCTTTCTTTTTTTTTTTCATCATTATAATCTCTGCGCAACCGGTATCCGAAGGAATTTCCAGCTCTCGTTGGCTGTATAAAGCTCGAGCGCGATCGTCGCCCGGTAGTATTGGCGATTCGGGTTGAGATGCGGAGAGCTCGTTTTTGTTCCGCGTCTCTCTCGTGCTGATATCATATATTTTTTACGATGCCCTGCGCCCGAGTCGTCTTTTCTGCATCGTATAGAGCCGGTAGCGCACAGGTATTTGGTGTGTAGGTATCTGTATACATTGGATTCTCGGCGTTATACACCCGCACCGGGCACACACCCCAAGAGTTTGCGCAACGAAATTTCCACCTCCTGGACGGTACAATATAAATATTTATATATTGTATCATCATTTGGAGCGTTGGGAAGGCGAGTTGTACCTTCCGGCTCCTCTTCTCTTTCATTTTTACCGGGGTTTTTCCCTCTCTCAGTGCGCATATTACGTACACGTGTAATACTTTGGAATCGTTGCGTTTGAAGGAGCAGATCGGTCTTACACGCGCGTAAATTCGTTTGATTGTGCGAATAATCGATTATAAGGATTTTGTTAATCTGTGCAAGTGCATATTTATCGGCTGACGAAGGAATTTCGAAAATCCTGTGCGTACACGAATTGCCGATGCGATTCAGTAAATAACGACGCTGTGAATTGTTAAACGTACGAGTAAATAAAAATTGTCTCGTTTTTTTCGTGTCTCTTGGACTTGTGAATCTCGCGACCGATTTGCCGATAGAGCGTAGATCGTTAACAAGTGCGTCTGCCGGGATATACAAGCACGCATCGAGCCTATACGTATCGTGTACTTAAAAATTACAAAAGAGTCGCGGACTCACGCTCATGCGTTGCAAATAAAAACGAGTTACGTAAAATGTGCCGTGCTCTTCTTCATTTACATTGTTTTTGATGTACCGATGATTGTTGGGGAATATCCCCCCCTCAGATAATGTTATCTCGGTCAAATATTATATGTTACAAAAACATATAATATATTGTCGTCGCGTGCCTCATGTATATAATACCTGTACCGAATGTGTTGTGAATTTCTACAGTTGGCTCGTCTCCGCAGATTACGGACACCGATACCACGCGATTATTTGTCATCCACCGATCAATAAATCATAAAAATAACCAGCCAATTAATGGATTATTTCATCCCATGTATTTTCAATGAAAAATCCGCACTGCCCAAGTGAGACACTCGAACAAAGTTTATCATGCAGGTGTAGTACAGCCGCAGACATTTTAATTACGTAATCACGATGTAAACGTATATCAAGACCTACAAATTACGTGCACAGACATACACGTCGGAGACGAGGAGGAGGACGAAGGTTGCCAAGACTCTAATTACCATCCCCGATGAGTACATTAATAATATATATATACACTTCCGACGCAATTACACATCGAATGGCTCTCGTTGAGTGATTGGATTCACCTGTCTTTGATACCCCGACTATTGGTGTAATTATGCCCGCGAGACATTGTAATAGCCTGGCCACGGATTTTCTATGTTAACGGCTGGTCCTTTGCCCCCCCCCCCTTCCAAATTAGATGAAAGCCAGAGAATGACGCGTGCCGATACTAACAAACTCACGCCCGTGGGAATTAAGCTACGCACGACCGATGGTTGAACACAATCGACGCAAGCGACGTGATTTTGTGGCTTTCAAGATATGGCAGGGAGTGGCATGAAAATGCATGATATACGTATATAATATATACACGTGTTCGGATATAAGAGCAGGGGATAAAGCAACGGCCGCAAGGGTGTATATTAATCCGTTCAGTTATATATAGTTGTGTATATACAATACGTACATATACGTTGTGGAGCATAAAAATTACACTTTTATTTCAACGAAATGTATATACACATATATAGTGTAAAGGCTGTACAATACACGTGGTGGTACTACGCGGGATTCCAGGCTTTATCCAACTTGAGTATCAAAAAGAGATTAGCGTGTACTCGGGTTGCACTGCAAGGGCGTGGACTGGTGTACCTACCTGAGAGAGAGAGAGAGACCAAAGTTTCCAAGCAAATTTCGGGCCACGAACCCGTAAAAAAGCCCCCCCAAACTCGGCGCCGCGTAAAGTTGGTCGCGAAATAGTGCCCCAGTTAAGTAGAATGTGTAAGGTACAGGCTTCACCCGTAGCATCCCCCGCCCCAACGCGAGCATCGGAAAAACCAAAACAAGTGACGAGTGTTTCGAGGACGAGGCGAAAGTTACCTGCGTGGAAAAAAAAGGCCCGTGTGGATGAAAAGAAGCTTCGGGCGGAGGTACATGTGTGCACACACGTGTATATATGTGTATATACGGGGGTGGGTTTCGAAGAGTGGAATGGTGTGCTTCACCAGAAGAAGACGTACAGATGCTCGAGCGCGCTATACGTGATTCTCTGCTGGTGTGCCCATGACTGTGTGTCCGTATATATATGTACGCAGGTGGTATACGTAACCACCATAAGGCGCGTATGGATATGTAAGTGGTCGACCCTCTTTCGACTTTCCTCGGTGCACGTGACGTTGGTTGCAACGCGTGTCGCGCGCGTGTGTGGATTTAGCTAATACCCACACAGGTGCGAGAAATCGTTTTCTCTCGTGGAGCTAAGCAAAGGCCGTAGGTACATCGTTCGTGGTAGTTGCGAGCGCTGCGGCCAGTAGGTAGCACTGCAGATACTTAGATAATATACCCGGTCAACTTCAGCTTGGCGATACAACGGGCGAGATATATCGCGGGGACTTTGTATTGTCTGATGGTGTCGTTCGTACGCGAGTTGTGTGCCTCGACTGGATTTGGCCTCTTTTTTTTCTTTTTCTTTTTTTTTTTTTTTTTTTCTGTACGTCTCTGACACTATTTGTTGTTCCATTTGCATTTGTTCGAGAGAGAGAGAGAGATAGGGTCTGTAACAAAAGAGGATCGGGCCAAGGAGGAGATTTTGACGAGCTAACTGTTCGCCGGAGCGGATTTTCTCTGGTATGCACACGGGCACTTATTTGCGAGTACAACGCTGTTGTTTGGTTGTGGTGGAATTGGATTTTTTCCTTTTTTTGTTTTGCTTCCAAGGTAATTTGTAGGAGTTATTAAAGTCGCGTTCCACCAAAACCAAGCGATAAGAATGCGATACGCGCACAAACTCTAGCGCAAGCCCTGAAATTAGGTCATTGGGAAATTTGTTGCAAAATTTTGCTCTTGACAAGTTTTTTCTGTTTTCGTTGCGTGATTAATTATATTTGCACGCGGAAACAAATATATAATTTTTACTCCACGTGCGCTAACAATGGATTGTTTTTCTTTCAAATTAATTTCATTGGGACTGTTGGCCCTTTGGAGTGATTGAATTTTTTACATTTTAGCAATTTTAAAAACTATAAAGTGTACTTTAGCATTACTACTAGCAAATACTAATAGCTTCTTTTTTGTTGTCGCAAAAGATAAAAATTGTTGTACGTTGTTTGGAATAATAATGCTTTACCCCTCTCAACTGATTTCAATGAAAGTAACTTCTCTCGTAATTCAAAGGGCAAGTAATTATAAAAATCATATCAAGTTTTTTGGTTGAGAGGGTTGTTATTATTATTATTATTATTCATTTATTGTTTTTCATCAATAAACAATCGAAATAAAAACTGAAAAAATAGCTGTGCAATTTAAATTTCCAAGTTTTTAAATAGTCATTTCCCAATAAAGTAATACTAATTTTTAACACTTATTCTAAATTCATAACGACTCCGGTGCCATCAACTACGAAAGTATTGATAAGTATAAAAAATGTATTTTGCGATCATAATTTACCTGTTTGCCTAAGCCACGGCATTACAACGAACAAGTGTTCCATATTTCATGCGTAGATATTTACCCACACTCTGTTTACGAATCAACAACCAAATGGCCCTTTGATAACTTTTTTGCTCGCGGACAAATTGCTGTGAAAACGCCGCAAACAATCAATATTGAATCGTAAAATATTTGATTACGTAAAACTGTGCTTTTTGTGAAAAACTACAATTGCATAGAAAGTATATATCAAACGGTACAGTCAAAGTGCCATATTTTTAACATCAAACCTCGTTTTTACTTATTATTTTGTTAAAAGGGGCGGTTAACCAACCAACGTGGTAAGTCATAATTTTTTACATTCTTGTGAGTGTATGTACGAGCAGTATAAAACAATTTGCTGGATAAACGCACAAAACGTAAGGTATTTTTTTTTTGTTTACGTAAACTCTTGTTGTCTTATATAAATCCTCCCTCCGTTGGGACCTTGGTGTTAATTATCATGAATATTAATGCATTCGCGCGTCACATCATCACCAATCGATGGATAAGAAAAAAAAATCACGAGTATCGCGAGAAGATCAAAATACGCCGTTGCATATGCACTTGAGTAGATGTGCGCGCGTAACGTACACCTAATTTGCGCGCTCGTAAATAGTGTCGCAGCAGCGTCGAGGGCAAAAATATCGGGTTGCAATTGCACTGTATCGACGAGCTATTGGGTAATGAGACAGGCGATAGTCTCGCTCCTTTCCCCTGGTATAGTTTTTCATTGTGTTGCAACATTTTATGTTTATTTTTTTGTTTTTATGTTACAGGTGACGACGATCTTGCAGCCAAACAACCATTGCTTTTTTTTAGACAATTTTTTCTTTTTTTTTTTTTTTTTCTTAATGAAAGAGTGACATTAGTGTCACAATGACCACATCGAACAACATTTCCGAATCGTCGGATTTAGCTTTCATCGAGTTGAAATCCGATAGTCCGTACGACCTGTTCCGAGATTGGTACGCAGAGGCGTGTAAATTTTGCACTGGACTACCAAACGCACTTTGCTTGGCTACTGTGTCGAAGTAAGTGTACCGTTAAATTTTTCAAATCTTTTTTTTTTTTTTTTTTTGTTTCGATTTCATTACATGGACAATACGTTTTATTGTGATTTTAGCGATTTGAAGCCAAGCGCTAGGAATGTCGTACTGAGGAGGCTCGAGGAGGATGGCTTTGTGATTTACACAGACAGTAGAAGTCGGAAATCAAAAGAGTTGGTAAGAAACTTAATTCCCTACATTAGAGAGTGACATCATCATGTAACGAAAAGAAAAAAGATTTAATTTAAATCGAATGAAATTGACGAAACATTTCCAAGGCCGAGAATTCCACGGCTGCAATGTGCTTCTTGTGGACATACCTCGACGATCAGGACCAAAAGATCGCTAGGCAGGTGAGAATTTGGCCTGTAAAAATACTCATGATGCTCGAGGATGTAAAATACGCGTAACGTTGCTTTTGTAGGTGAGAATAGAGGGCGACATGATCGTAGTGGACAAGGAGGAAATAGCCGATCTTTACGAGAGCGACAAGCTGTTTTGCAAGATTCGCGCTTACATCTGCCACCAGGATCAGGAAGTCGACTGGGACGACTTGAAAGCTCGGCACGATCGGCTACTCGGCGAAGTCAGGCAGAACAAAAAGGACCTTCCTATGCCCGACTACTTGTGAGTTATCCACTATTACGTATATAATATGGTCCACTCATGGAAATTGTCATCCTTAAGTCTCGCCGCTATCCAAATGTGTCCCTGGTTGCCAACCTGCCAGGGGATACACCCTCGCCGTATCAAAGCAATCTCTGGCAAAAAGATGTACGCGAAATGAGGTTCTTGGCACGCGAAACTATAAACACAGACAGGGCTTTGTGGGAGGGGGTTGGTGCGACATCAGAGCACACTTTTCCAGGCAATCTGTGCACTAGATGTATGTGTATGTGCTCTCATTTCACGTGCACATGACAGCCAGGAGGGTGTGGTAGCGCCTCCCTGCATACACCGATACACTTGCCTCCTCGCTCGGGAAGGCATATATCTGGCTGCACGTGTATACATGTAGTGAAGCGTATGTGGGTCACGTTGATGGAACGCGCGTGGGAATTAATGTTGAAGCGCGGGGTGATGAATTACCGACCATGGGTGGGACGTGTCCCCTCTTCCGTCCCCCTAATTCTCCCCGGCCCCCATTTTTTTTCTCCACAACCACCCCCCCCCTTGACACTCCGTGTTGACTTTAAACTCGGCGAGAGACAATTGCGACTGCTCTTTGCGCGGTATCGGTACATGACGAGGTGACCAACCAACCCTCATACCAGTCCAGCTAAACAACACTCGTCAGTTATCTCCGGTTGATTTAACTAGCGCAAAAGCATTGTCCATAGTCGATTCTCTTGTAAACCGTTGACTAATTATAAATGTAAGAAATTTAAATAAGATAATCCGTTGGCTGAAAGAGTTTGATGATTCACTTGATTGTTGCAGAATCGGTTACAAGATGCTTCCGAAGAACATCGAGTTTTACTACGCCAGGGACAACTTGATTGGGGATAGGATCCTGTTTGAGAAGAGCGACCCAAAGTGCCTGCAGTGGACACACAAACGTATCGCAGCCTAAACCATATGATATATTATAAATTACTTTTTATCCAGAGAAAAACAAATAAATTCCATGCTGGATTGGAACGCTGTTTTTACAACACGCAATGGTACAGTCCAACTGTTTCAAAATATTTCGATGGCAAAGAGTTTCATTAAAGGTTAAATATAGCTTTACACCCGATGAGATGATCTCCGATTCGAACCACTAAACTGTATATTTAAAAAAAAAAAAAAAAGCTTCTTCAGAGGTAAAAAAAATAGATATAAATTAACACGCGATTTTACATTTCAAGCAAACGTATCCAACAAAAATCCTGTGCATCGCTAATAATTTAACACTTATCGGATATTCGTGTTCTTTCGCATGTGAGTACCGCAATTCAATTAATCATTCGTTCATCGCGAGTATATATGTATAATCCTTTCGAGCATTTTTTTCTCCCTCTCCTCTTTCTCTTTTGAATCGAGTATCAAAGGTCGATTCGATCGTCAAATTCCATGGATACATTAATCGGTCTTTTTTTCATCGAGACGCCAGACGAGTATGTTTTTCCTCAAAACGTAAATATTGTAGTCGTACCTATCCTCTCTCTCTCTCTCTCTCTCTCCACCTATCTTCTTTTTGTGAATACAATATTATCGTTGTATTTTTTGTTTGTATTGTTTTTTAAGTTTTTTTTTTTTACATACATGATTTAATGATACTGTGCAATTACATTATTGTACACCAACTTTCAAGTTTCAAAACAAGCACAGGAGAAGGTGTCGTCGTGAGAACACAATAAATGGCGTATTATTGTTCAGAATAAACTAGATTATGTTATTTCATGTGTGTATGAAAATGTAGTTTATTTTAGTTTTTCCAAGACATTAGTAAAAAAAATCAGTCCTCACCTCGACCGCGTTGTAAAGCTGGCGTACCTACATACAAAACGATGAAGCTGTGATGCGTAAATAAACAGGACCTCGCCTTTCCGAAACAGTTGTTGCTCTGGAATCTTTCCAAATGTGCAAAATCATCGCCCCGTACATACCACCACCACTTGTTCCGTCATCTATATACTCGTACTCTGCAGCTTATCTGTTTGCTCGCGTTAGACTTGAACCCTGAAATTGCGTCATTCCTGAAATTTCTGAATTCACAAGTAACGTTGTCAACTACGTGTCTTAATTTACTTATATTGTATTCCAACTGTTTTATATAACCGTATTCTGATAAAAATGTAACTTTGTGATAAGTTGCTACCTTTTTTTTTCAACGATCACTTTTTGGTGATACTTAGTAGTTTGATAGTTCGATACAAGAGTCAACAATGGCCATATAAAAGTAAAATCGCGTTTGCTTAATCTTAATGACTAAATGAATACTAACTAGTATGACACATATTTTGATGAGTTGTATGAGGTCCCATCTACCATCTTTCATTTATTTTCCATGAATTGTACAATAATTAGTGTATGTGTAAAGTGCGTACGTATACTTACAAGTCTGCAGTACTTACTATGGCTATCGTAAATGTTGAAAAGTAAGCAAGTACTTGATGAAGATGAAAAAATTTTCTTTGTAAACACAAAAGCGTAATGAGAAATGTATAAGAATATACAAGTAAGGTACAAAAATACATGTACCCTAGGCTATAGGTCGATCGCGTTATCCTCTCTGGTGAATCTTTGCACAGCAGCAGACGTTGGCACCTATACATGTATGTATATGTTTGCAGCATCCCAGAGTCCCAGAACTCCCAGACAGTCTCAGAGCCAGACGCTCCTGGCTCTCTGTGCATGTACTATACGTACCCTACTCTTTCCCCCCCAACATTTTCAACGCCGCCGCGTCACCCTAAAAACTTCGGCTTGCGAATGTCTAGACGTACTTACTCTCTCTCTCTCTCTCTCTCTCTCTGTACAGCCGAACAAAAGTGCGAACGAGAAAAAGAGAGAGAGGAGGAGCGTAAGGAGCGCCGATTAAAATTATATAGGTATAATACACGTACATCCACTGGCCGTTTGTCCGTCCGCTCCCCCTCGACCGCCGCCGCCACACCGCTACCTCCCGCACTCGCGAATTGAGCGTCGTCTAGCAGAGCCGCCGAAAACGTCTCGCCTTTTCCCCCCTGACCCCGCTCCATCGGCACATGTACACCCCCCTCTTTGCTTTCCGCCTCACCTCACCTCCTCATCATCAACAAACATTCTCCCTCTCTTTCTCTCTTGCACGGACATATATACTTAAGTATATTCCTTTAGCTCCGTCAAATCGTGTCGGCATCGTCGCCGCCGCCGCCGCCGCTGCTCTATACCTATATGTACGTTGATATCGTGCGAATAAAAAAAAAAAAAAGAGAGAGAGAGAAGCGCGGCGGCAGCAGGCGCGAGAGGGAGGCGTGTAAGCACCGTCTGGGGCCTCTTACTCCAACAGTAGCAGACAGACGGATGAGCATCAGCGGTATTATATGTATATATAGTAAAAGCAGCGAGTAAAACTATTCTGCATGCACCGTGAACGTTTTTTTTTCTTTTTTTTGTTTTTATACATTTCACATGATTGACACTCTCTGTGTTACTTACATTGTGCATTGTTAAGTTTATACTTACCTACTCCCTCATCTGTCATGTGCGGCGTGCGAGTGTAAAATAAATCATCATTGGTTAATCATGTCCAAAGATCCGTCGTCGTTTCTGCAGCTGCAGCATCATCAGGATCACTGACGACGATGCATCAGCTGTGCAGTTTTTTCCGTTGAAAGTGGTGGTGTGTCAAGGTGAATTACAATGTAATTTGGTTTGGTTGAGGAGAAGCGAGTGACTGAGTTTTTTTTATTTACTGATAATTAAACAAGAAAGAGAGTGTCGAGCACTCTTTTTTGCGGGGGGAATCGAGAATTTGAGATGACTCGCTCTGGCCTATAGAAGCAACTGGGCGTTTTTATTGTTTGGAAACGTGATTGTTTTTTTTAATTTTTTTATTTGTAAGGCTTACTTAATATGTACACCCAACTTCATCCAAATGATGTACGGTTATAACCTATAGCGTCGTCGTGCGTATTTAATTTTTGGCTGATTGTGTTCCTTTGCTAAAGTGAATGAATTTCGTGTATAAGTACCTACTTATACTTGTCTGCTGTATGTCTATATGCACGCAAATTGGGGACATGCAGTATAAAACGGAGCCCAAGAAAGAAAGAGGGAGAGGGAGAAAAAGATAAGCCAGTACTATATACAGTCTCTCTGTGTCGCCTTTAGGTTTTTCAGATTTGATTGATTACTTATATTTGCTTATTGTGTTCGAGTAACTTTATTCGGATGTTGCATTGAGTGCTATCTTTAGGCTTTTTTTTCTTTGTGCAAAATTTTTCTTATGCAACTGATAGGCAAAGTGAGGTTAGAGCTTCATGTGTTGTTTTCTTTGGTTGACATCTACACTATTTTACATTAATGAATGGAAATGCATTCCTGTAAGGAAAAAAAAAATATACAATTTTGGTTTTGGTTTCAGATGTGTAAAAGATTAATTCCATATTTCGCGCACGAACATGGGGCTGGAGCTTCTGGGAATTTTTGTGCAGTTATCTTGACTTGGATCAATGAACATAAAAATTAGCCATGAGCAGCAAGACTAGCAGATGACTATTCTTTTGATTCATTTTTTCTATGCTAATCCTGGGAAAACGAAAGGGATCTGGTTAAAGGAAAATAGAAAAAAAATGGCAGAATGTAATGAATTGTAACAATAAATTGGTAGTGGTACACATGTGGACACAATGAGAGCTACTGTAAAAATTGCGCTGCTCGTGGCTATTGTCTGCATCACAGACTTTGCCCTGATTCAAGCTGATCAAATATGTGCTGTATCCAGGACATGGAATACAAGTGAGTCTGAGCATGCAGATGATAGTGAAATCGAGAATTCCTACAATGTCAATGATCGTAACCAGGTGAGTCTTACCTCAATTTACAGTTTTTTAATCATTTGTTGATAGAAGCTCAATTTTATGGACTGGTAGCTAGTCAGTATGGAAGAGATCATAGTTTCTGGACATCTGTTTAAATCACAGTGTGCTTCAAATATGTGAATGTCCATATATTTGAATGAATGTTCATCTTTGATCTCTGTCATAATTATTATCTCTTGTTTTTACCGCCTTATAAATAACTTATCTTTAAGTAACACAGTAAAACTTTTTTGCCCTGTAGACTGGCAAGCATGTCAAATTCGAAAAATGCAATCAATATTGTTATGCTGCATGGGAAGAATCAGTTACATCAAATGGAACGACAATAAAATTTATTAATATGTCTCTTCAGGGTTGGTTTTATAAATAAAATTTGTTTTATTAATTCTGTACGTCCCCAAGTAAATGTTATTTTTTATTATTTCAAGCAGGCTGTTGGAGTCAAGAGGGTCATGATTGTGAAAATACAGAATGCATAGCAAAATTGTATACAAACACAAAAATGCATACTAAGTTCTGTTGCTGTAAACATGATTATTGTAATGTGAACGTTACTGATTATGTGGACAACAAATTAATTTTGACCAGTCCAGCAAGTAAGAATAATTTAAGTGTGTCTGTTACAGGTACTTTTTATTTTGCTTTTTTTACTTTATTTTTAATACAAATTTTTTTACGTTTTTTTATTTATTTGTTTTTTATAATTTTTTACTTGGACATTACAATTAAATGACAGTACTAGTTAAAATTTATTACAAATTTTTATTACTTTTCAGCTACAGAATTTTCGGAACAAACAGATACCGATCAAATGATCATGATTACTGTTACCATATTAGCTTGCATTTTACTAGTCACATTTACAGTGGTAATTTTGATATATCAGGCCTACAAAAACAATATTTTATTGAGATTGGGTAAGCCAGTGCCATATAACGATAATTATATGGATGGTAATGGACTCAGAACTGGTACTTATACTGTTGACCATCTAAAATTGTCAACTATAGTTGGTAAGTTTTAGTAACAGCTCAGGTTTTGACAAAATCATGCTGATTTTTTATCAAACGAAAAATTTTCCAATAAAAATTAGATCAAGGAAGATATGGATCCGTCTGGCAAGGTAGTATAGGAGATGAAGAAGTAGCTGTAAAAATTTTTCCTGGTCACCATCAAAACTACTTTTTAAATGAACGTGATCTTTACTGTCTACCTTTTATGGAGCATCCTTCATTACTATATTATTATGGTAATGCTTATTGATTTCGTTTTTTTTTAATCCATAATTTATTTTACTTATACACCCATGCTCTCATACAGGATCTGATGAAAGAGTAAGTATGGATGGTAATGTTGAATACTTATTGGTGTTTTCCTATGCGCCTGGTGGTACTTTGACGGAATTTTTACGCTGCCATACCTTTGATTGGATGACGTTTTGTAAAATGAGTTTGTCAGTAGTTAAGGGACTCGCTTATTTACATACCGACGTACGTAAAGGAGGTAAATCAGATTATTATTTTTACAACAATAAAATCATTACAAACTAAAAAAAATGAACCTAATTTACATGATGGTTGCAGACAAATTCAAACCGTGCATAGCACATAAAAATATGTGCTCTGGTAATATTTTGCTCAAAGCTGACGGTACTTGTTGCATTTGCGATCTAGGAATTGCAGTTCAGATCTTAGGATCAAAATATTATTCAGAGGATCAGCACGTTGAAACTAAATCGATCAATGACGTAAGCAAACATCGACCAGATTAAATATTTTCAAGAAACATTTAATGAATAAGTTGGTGGTGTCAAAAATTTAGCAAAATATCCTTTTATGTATACTTAGGTTGGTACGTTGCAATACATGGCCCCAGAGGTGCTCGAAGGAGCGGTAAATTTGCGTGACTGCGAAAGTTCTTTGAAGCAAATCGATGTATATGCAATGGGCATAATTCTCTGGGAGCTGGTATCTCGTTGCACTGATATTTACGTTTCTGGTAACGAAGTGCCGCAGTACAGACAGCCGTTTGAAAAGGAAATTGGTCAGTAGATAAAATACTTCGTTAAATTTTATATTGATGGTCCGTTTAAAATTTATTTAAAAGTTGATTTTCCTACAGGACTTCTTCCAACGTTCGATCAAATGCTGGTGTTGGTTTCCCGTAACAAGGCAAGACCTCTTTTTGAAGGAAGCTTAGTTGATAAGCCAGGGGTACGTTTAATTAAGGAAACAATGGAAGACTGCTGGGACGCCGATGCAGAAGCTAGACTGACAGCCCTTTGCATAGAGGAGCGATTAACGGAGCTTCAATCTCATCGAAGTAAATATTTCACCAGACTGCAGAGCGAGGATTACCAATCTAACGTTTTACGTATCATTCAATTATTTACAGTTACGATGCATTTTACCGACGGTAGCCCAATGATGAATTCGCACTGTGGACTTGTGCCTTCAACGACGAATAGCCTTTATAGTGATGCACCTAATCGCGATGGTGCTCACCACGTGGTGCAGATGAGTGGAAACGATTGTAGTGATCTTTTGGAAAACTTGGTGACCTCATCTCCCAGTGAAAGCAATTCCCATGAACACAGCAGTGAGTAAAAATAACAGATAACACAGTCTATAAATGTAAATTTTTTATTATGGGTCCTAGATGTTGAACAGTAGAATAATTTTTTGATTATTCAATGAATACTGACCGAAACAATTGCATCAATCGTGCTTTTTCTCATTGTGAGAGTTTCAAAAAAAATAATTTTTTATTCTTTAAAATTACTATGCATTTCAAACAACAGTTAAACTCTTAACGTCTCAAAGAATTATTACTAACACTAATAAAAATAAGTAAATACATATTGCCATAATTGCCATTCAAATACATTATATCATGTGTGGTCAACGAAAGTTGAATCTCCAAAGAATTTATTTGCAACTTTTGTAGTTTCTTTATTGGTATTTTCTTGGTCCATACTGTTTGCATCAGTCTCACTCGAGTTAGAAAGTTAAACTTTCAACGTCTTTTACTAATATTAACTAAATTAATTAAGTATGCATTGCCGTAACGTACAAAGATGATGTCTTATGGACAACCAACGGTAGTTAAACTAATCAGTAGAGGATCTTTAAGCGAATCGTTTGCAGCTTCTGTTGTCTCTTCATCTGTGAATTCTTGTTCCATACTGTTTGCATCAGCTTCACTCAAATTCGAAAGTCTCCTCCACAAGTGAAACAAACTGGTATCTTCTACATTTCCAGACCATCCACTAAATTTGTCAACACTTTTAAAAGACTGAATAGTTTCTTCATCTATCAGTTCTTCTATGCAATTTAAAGTTTTTGCATACATGTCGTTACTCAACGGGGCTGGCGTTGAAAAAATTTTTTCAGGCATGTAAGGTGGTAATTCGACAGATTCAGTATTATTATTATTAAATGCCTTTATGACAATGCTCTGATAATTACATTTTTCTTCAGACAATGGATACAATCCAGATTGCTTGAATCCAGTTTTCAATATCTTCACAAAATTCAATTCGTGCATCATTTTCTGTAAGCTAGATGTCACATACTTATTGGATAGGGTATTGGTACTACTCTTTGATCTTTTGCTATTTATTAAACTGTTCCAAGCTGACTTTATCCGTGGGAATAGCTGTACTTCCAATGGATTTAGTACACTGGAGGCATTTGGGTGTAGAGCCATTAGTTCAATGTTATTCTTGATGCAAAAGTCATACAGGGTAAGTGTTACATGAGGAATTTTTCCATTCAAAAACAATACAATCGGACCTTCATTCAGCTCAACTTCCCTAAGCCATTTGTGAAACGTTTTTGTTATGTAATCGGAAAACAATTGGAAATTCATAAATCCATCCTCTGTCTTTGCACACAACCAGTCATTGGGCAATTTCTCTGTAATCTTGTTAGGAATCTTGTTTTGGTACTTGAACAACACCATACAGGGAGCCACTTGGCCAGCAGCATTGCCTGATACATGCAAAGATAAATTCTCAGTCTCTGCATTAGACTCAGGATTGCACAGGTGCACGGTATCCATAACAAACACCCTTGAGGGATCGATGTTCAGCAAGCCTTTATTTTTCAAAAACAACTTAGTTTTATTAAACCAATCTTTCATTCCTTTCTCGGTCACTGGGCTCCTGATATTTATCAAATTGCTGCTTAGCCTCTCAGCGGCACTCTTGTGCCTGTGAAGAAATCCATGGTACCAGCCCCTGCCTGGTCTGCCATTGGCAAATCGACTCCTACGATTTAGCAAAGAAACCAGCTCGGCCACGCTGTTTAGCACGTTCTTTTTGCCGACATACATATTACGCTGCCAACACTCGTGTATCCAACACTCCACGGTATTCTCTTCGATATTGTCGAGCACAGGGTTGGAGCCAGATGTCCTGCCCGAGAAATCGGGACGACTTCGATTGCGCAAAGTCGTCCTGGGTACCTTAAATTTATTACTCGCCCCTTTAAAGGACATTCCAGCTTGTACAGCTTCGAGAGCTTCCCGAAGTGCATCTTTACTGTACTTGTAGTAGCCCCGGCTTCTACTGTTCTTAGCATCCATTGTTTTGTCCTGTAATAATCATAATCCATAATTATACCTTAAAACTACTTAATAAGAGCTTAAGCTTGACAATAGTGATTGAATTTTTTAGAACTCACTGTCATTTCATTCACCGACAGCGAAAAAAAATTGGCACGTGACACGTTAAATTGTCTAGTTAGTCGTTGTTGCAGATGACATGTCTTGTTGATTGTTCTGTATGTTAGGTTAGGTATCTCTTTATTATCTCTTTTTCAGAGCTTTTTTTTTTTGCACAGACTTGGCGGGAGAGAAAACACATCCTTCAAAAAAATATAAAGTTATGGTTCAATCGAAGTGTGAAAACTCCCGTCATACAAGCCAAAATTACAATTCAGTTTTAATGATTATGTTTAACTGAAATAAGAATTGTAATCAATCAATAATTTGGATTTCTGTATTTTACTACAAATATTTATTTTAACTGTTCAACAACAAATAAAAATAATTGAAGAACACTCTAGTAATCAAAATTCCCAAATGTGTGTTCACAGGCAAAAACTCAAACGAGACAAACGCGGCCAGCTTGTCGGCGCATCATCCTCCACAACCACAACTGCAGCCTTACCAGGGCCGCAATCCATGCATGGAGCGTAACCTTATGATGCAGTCGGATTCGTCCGAAGAGCTTGGCTGCCAAGGCAACATTCTTGTCAACAAATCGTATAAACATCACACGGACAAAGTGCCCCAGCCACCAAGCAACAGCAGTGAAACTCAAAGCTTAGTGCCTCACGATTACCTTGGTCAACAGCAGCAGGCGCAGACACAACATCACCATCACGTCATAAGTTCGCAGCAGCTGTCACTGAGATCTGTTACACCTATACCTTATGTTCAGGTATGCTTTATTCAAGGCTTACACCTTGATTTCCGGGTTCTTGGAAATACTGACAGATAAACATGTTATCGTTAAAACTTTTTCAGAACGTCATCTCAGAATGCAGTGGAAGCGGCGGCTCCTACAACAAACTAAAACAGACCAACATCCAAGAGTCCTGCTACACAGCGCTGCCTAGCAATCCACCGGAGGGCAGCCCAAAGCGTCTCCTTGGCTTCTCCGGGTGGGCAAGTCTGAAAAAAATTCTTTCCAGTAAAAAATTAATGTATCAGCAGCAGCATCCGGCGTATAGTAAGTGCGAAATCGAGCGCGAAGATTCCAAGTCAAACCTCCTTGTTAACAAAAATACCGCGGCGGCAAATTCTCACCAGCCTAAAATCGTCGAAACCAACGTGAGCATTTTACCAGGTGGCAAATATGTGAATGGTATCGTTTCTGAAAAGACTAAAAATAGCGACCCATCTTTCATGTGTGACTCTGCTTCGAGCCGGCCCTCGACCCTTCCCCTTGTTAGTTTAAGACGGAGTAATTCTGGTCACAAAAGAAAAAGCGAGACGACAAGCCTTAGCCAACAGGAGAGCTTAGATAGGTTTAACGAGGGTACGAACTGTGACCCCAAAGATACCTCTAACCGAGGCGAGCCAGCTGCTCCTGTGCGTAAAACTCGTGCCAAGAATCCGTCAACAAACGCTAGACTATCGCTGTATGATGACAGGATCATGTGTAGCATTACGAATGAGGAGAGGGATAAGAACGGGAGATCCTCCGATATCAATAGTCCCTCTTCTTCGAACTCGGTGCCCTTTAGTATGGACGTTACTGATGACGAGCAACAAAATATGACTGCCAAAATTGACGCAAGAAACGTAACTAGCTTCTAATCAAAATTCAATGATACAGACTTTGGTGGAAATGACTTTTATTCTCTTCTGCATTTTCTTTTCAACCGACTGTATAATTTAACACACCTTACCTACTTATTTATCTCGCTTTTTGTTATCTTTTATACTCTCTTGCTGTTTATTTGCAGAACTGTAAATATCCTTGTTTTTACTAAGCAAGAATTAATATTAAGGTTTTTCACTTGTTTACGCAATTCACCCAGGCAATTATTTCCATCAGGGTAAAAAAAAAATAAACGATTGCTGACTAGAAGCACACATGTTAAAAAAAAAAAAAATGACAGCAATTGTACAGAGATTGTGTATAGAATTATTTATAGTATAAATACGCATAGATATATTTCATTTTATACTTAACAGTAAAAAAAAAAAAAAAAAAATTGACTGTAGGCTTTTGTCAAAATTCAATATTATAAGGAGAAGCGTTGCCAGAAGTGTTTGTAAGACGATAAAACCTGTGATTTTTCGATATTTTAGACTTTGATTCTAATATTCAAAACCAGGAAACGGTTGGTATTTATTTTTATCAAGGTATACCATTCAAATTGAATGATTTTCAACACTTATTTTAAAATATGTTTGACACCTCAATAATTGTGAAAAATTTTTTTTTTCATTTTACTACTAATTACAAAATTAATTTGTATAAATAAATTTAATAATTGGTATGTAACTCGATGACGCGGACAATATTTAAAATACAAGTTTTAATAAACTCTAAAGAAAAACTAAAGAAGAACTTTTATACAAAACTCTGGAGTACTTAACTTATTCTTTGGAATTGCATAAAACCCAAAAGTAACAAAAAAAATTGATTTTTTTCGACACAAGTAATTGTTTGAAATCACAGGTACATAAGATTAAGAGTGATTGTTATTTTTCACTTCTATAGTCGTATTTAAATAGACTTATCGTTGCTTTTTATAGTTTAAAAAAGTAAAACAATGAAAAGCAGGGATGTTAATTATTTTATTTGTAAATATGTTCCTTTTAAACTAATTTTTTACAAATAGTTATTAATAATATTCATTTATACTCATTAAAATTTTATAGTTGCAAAATTAGCACGAAATAATAATTATCATCGTCTTTTAAGTTAAATTGTATATAAAAGGCAATGTATTTTTTTGTCTTAAATTTTGTTGACAATTTCGAATTTTAGCAAGTAAAACAAAGTGCAATGACACTATATTGAAATTACGAGTCATGGCGATTACAAAAGTCTGTCAATAATGATTATTATAATTTTTAAAAAGTATGGAAACAACGACGCTATGTGATCGATTAATCATAATGATTAGTAGTTTATAAATAGTAACGTGAATTCGAATGTGACTGCTCGATGACTTTTAGGATCTCTTTTTCCAAAGAAGCGAAGCTTCGCAAGGACTTTAGGCAACGCAATTGTTTTGTTACTAATAGTCGTCAAGGATGTAAAGTTGTAAAAAAAAAAAAAAAAAAAAAAGGTAGTAAACGCTGACGAGAAAAGAAGATAACTGTGAATGAAATTTTTACTGTCTAGATGGATAGGTCTCGTTAAGTATGCCAAATTACCATGTGCCCGATATACTTTTTAAAGTTTAACAGATTTTTTACACAAGATTTTTAATAACTTTTTTTTTACGTATGAAATTTTTATTCTTAAATTTTTTCGTTTTTATATTGCTTGTTCGTGTAAGATGATTTTATCAAAGGTGAAAAAATTATGTGTAATATTATGAAACAAATTAATTGAATGTATGCAAGTATGTGTTTTTTTAAATAAAAAATATAACTAAAAAAATTTTGTTCCTTTGATTCTTTAAAAAATCCTTTAACGTTTCATATCCAATATTTCTTTACTTTTTTAACGTACGAAAATGTTATTTAATCAATTTAAACTTCTAATAGCGCCGTAGTCAGTAATATACGGAAGCCCGGCACGACATCTGCATAAAAACGGTGGCGCTGATCCCAATAATTATCACTACTTACAGTAGAGCCATTTAACCTATTATAAACCATCCGCATCTAATTTTATAGATAGAAGATAAAAAGTTGACAATGTTTGTGCTGTTTGCGACAAGTATACAATTTATCTTTTATCCAAAAATCGACCTTTAGATTGGATGTAGATCCTTTTAAACTTAGATATTAATATCACAGATAAATTTGGCTACTATTAGTAAAACCGTTGGTTCAAGACTAGTAGCTAGAATCGATATAATTGAATTTTACGGAGACATTTGACCATTGCAATTGGTTTCCGTACGACAGTATGTACCTAGTACAAAATAAAAACGCTTGTAAAGAGAGTCGCTACTGTCCGCACTTTAAACGCGCAACGCTCAACGCGCGCTTCAGACTTTCCGACTCTTCCGAATATCTTTCAATTCCCGCCGAAACGGTGAACCACAACCCAGCCTTCTCGCTCCCGAATCGTCGGGATATCGAGTTTATCAAAGTGAGTATTTTTGCCTTATAAGATGACTTTATTGATAAATTTCCATCAAATGTAATTTAATTTGATTAAGAAAAATGTTTCCATTCGAAATTTGCCATTAAACCATGTCCTTTGTTGCACTCTGTTAAAAAACGTGGTTTTACAGATTTTTACGTTCCACGTGGCTGTTCAAAGTTTTTCCAGATACTCTTTGAAGCGATTTTTTTCCGTAAACTTTGTCAAAAATTTATTCAATACTGCAATACTGTATAAAGTGTATAATAAGAAGAAAAAAAAGCGTCATTAATAATACACATTTCGATCTGGAAAATAATTCGAGTCCAACATGGCCTACCACGGACATGGTGAGTACAATCTTTGAACAAGATGATGGATTTGTTGAGAGATAGAGGTTTAGTTTGGAGGTGCTCAAAAGCTAAAGCTTGAATGAACATTTTATTGCACAACTAAATAGTTTTAAAGGCTTTTGAGGCATTCCAAAATATCCTTAGCTGAAGTCTCGAAAAAATCTATTAAATTGATATTGTCCTATGTATTATATGTACATTCAGTTACAATTTGTGATGTATCAGGAAAAACGTTGCAACGTAAGAAAAAATTAAATAGACATGACATTACCAATGCGCTGTCAGACTCTGAAGACAGTGAATCTGACCAGATACCAGTAACTAATACGAAAACCAAACCAACTTCTTTGCACACGGATGCCTCAAGATCAACATTATTAATGACATTCACCCGTGACCGTGACGTGAACATATACAGTATTAGTAATAAAGTTGGCGAAAATGAGAAAAAAGAATCAAAATCGAGGAAAGATTTTAAGTTGCATAAAGAAGATACCTGGAGAAGAAAAAGTAGCCATCGGATAGCTTTAAATGATGAAAGAAGTTCAAGGCATCCCAGAGCTGCAAAGAATGTTCCTTCTTACGAAGAAGATGTTTTATCTGACTGGAAAGTCGGTGTGAGCACTAGAGCAGGTAAAAAAAGAAGTAAAAGTCCTGAAACCGTAATAAAAGTTAATAAAAGAGAAGATGTTAAGGTGCATGAAGTTGATGAAAATAGTATGTGTAATGCAAATGATGCTTCCCCTTCAAAACGCCTTAAAGTCGTTATTAGTGATATAATCAAAACACCATCTAAAACGATCTCTTTAACAAGTTCACCGGTCAAAACACCAGTGTCTTTACGTTCTCAGACTGTCTGTAAAACACCAAACACAGAGTTGAAAAACATGAGTTTAAACAGTCCATGTACGTCAAATAAAACTTCAATAATTACATCTGCCAGGAAAAATTTGAACTTATCTTTTAAACCAAACGAAAGTGTTGTGAAGGGAGGTAAAGCACCATATAATGACTTTGATCAAGATGATACGGATGAGGCGCAATCAGAAGGAAGTGATGATAAAGATACATGTTACAATCCTGACGAGTCTATAGAAAGTTCTAGTGAGTATTCTGAAGAAGAAATTAATGACAGTGATAGTGATGAGAATGAAAGACCAAATTATAGTGAAACACTAAGGGCCAAGTCAAAAACGTCTCCTAAAAATATTCTCAAAACACCCTCTAAACGTGCGCCAAAAACAGTAACACCGTCTGTAGAAACCCCAACCAGACAAATGTCCCGATTGAGTTTAAGTGGATTGACTCCTTCAGTGCGTAAAAGAGTTAGTCAGGTTTCTAAACCCACAACTCCATTGCAACTGGCACGTCAAAAGCTCCACGTGAGTGTACTTCCGAAATCATTGCCATGTAGAGAAGAACAGTTTAACGATATATACACTTTTCTCACAGCTAGATTATCTGATAACACTGGAGGGTATGCTTTTGAATTTTAAATCTTATCTCCATGGAACAATACTGTCTCAAACTACATATTTTGTTAATATTTTACAGATGCATTTATATTAGTGGAGTGCCTGGAACTGGTAAGACTGCCACAGTCAATGAAGTCATACGTATCTTGAAAAAGAAAATGGAAGAAGGCAGTTTGCCTGAATTCAAATACGTTGATATAAACGGAATGAAAATGTCCGAGCCACGTCAGGCTTACGTGCAAATGTGGAAACAACTGACTGGAGAAAGTAGAACCTGGGAAGATGCCCAGAAAATGCTTCAAGAAAGATTTTCCAAACGAAACTCCAAGAGATGTATGACCCTGCTGCTTGTTGATGAGGTGATATCTTTTACCTTATTGAATAAGAGTTCTAATATGGAATAAATTATTAAATGGTTTTCCATAAACTTGAGTTAGTTGGATCTTTTATGCACCAAGAGGCAAGACGTTATTTACAATCTCCTGGACTGGCCTAGTAAAGAACAAGCCAAGCTAGTTGTGGTTACAATTGCTAACACAATGGATCTGCCAGAGAGAGTTTTTATGGCCAAAGTTACGTCCCGTTTAGGTTTGACAAGATTATCATTTCCATCTTACACCTACAAACAACTAGAACAAATTGTCGTTTCAAGATTAAAAAATCAAAACGCTTTTGACAATGACACTATTCAACTAGTAGCTAGGTAATATATCTAGTCATTCAAATTTTATTTGTAAAACATTAAAAAAGAACAAATATTGATTAACATTTTTCTTTAACAATTCAGAAAAGTAGCTGCAGTCTCGGGTGACGCCAGAAGAGCACTAGATATATGTCGTAGATCCACCGAAGTCGCGGAAGTTAATGGGAAGGAAACGGTCACTTTAGCCCATGTTAAACAAGCTCTGGATGAAATGATTGCCAGTCCTAAGATCCAGGCGATCAAAAACTGTTCGGTGATGGAGAAGTACTTTTTGCAAGCCGTTTGTGCAGAAGTCCAACGTACTGGTGTACAAGAAGTCGTCTTTAAGAATGTATATCATCATATGAAGCCCTTAGTGTCAGTAAATGGTAAATACATATTTTTACTCGGTCAATTATTAGTTCACGAATATTTATATCGCAAGAACTAAATTAAAACAAGATTTCCTTGAATAGGTGAAAACCCACCAAATATCACACGAGCCCTTTTAATCTGCGCCAGACTTGGCTCTTATAGACTGCTTTTGACCGAGGATGCGAGACAGGATATTCACCAAAGAATAATATTAAATGTCGATAGTGATGATGTTTATTTTGCTACGAAAGAAATTGAAATATAATAATTTGATTTATTCAATTTCAAAAATCTATCATTTGATGTAAGTATTTTTTTATTTGATACGATTTTTCAAAGTTTTCTTCAACATAATTTTTGTGATGATATCATAGCACCACCAAGATCTCTGAAAGCCATGATTATATTTTCAGTATTTGCTATCTGACAATTTCTTAAGAGAAAACTTAGTTAAAAATTTTTTCCGAGAATAATACTGATACAGAATTTTCTTTCCAGAAAAAAAAACTAATTAAAAAATTGGATTCAACTCTTGCCAAAAGCTTAGGTAAGTTTTTTAAAATTATTTATATCAAAGCTTAAAAATAGTAATCAATTAAATGATGAAACATACGACCACCAAGATCTCTGAGAGCCATGATTATTTGTTTCGTATTTGCTAATCTGATACCAGAAAGCAAAAAACTTGTGCACTAACCTAATTTTTTCTTAAATTTATACATGCCTTTTTTTCAGAGAATCTGTGATACTGTAACATTATACCCTTGGAAACGGATGATTTTTTTATAATAACTTAGAAAATATATTGAAAAGCGATATTAATTTTTAGTGCCTTAAGGAAATGTTGAAAGACTGATAAATTATTATGAGAAATTCAGTGAGTGATATCCAAACCATCAAAGTCTTTTGGTAAATAAACTTGACGTATTTTTTTTTTTTTTTTGTACGATTGAGTTTAATAATGATGACATGAGCAACCACCAAGATCGATGAATGCCATGATTATACTACGTATTTGCTATCTGATATTACTTGATAAATATATATGAATGAAAATGTGGAGAAAGCTGTGCATTCACAAAAATTTTTATATTTTCAGGTGTTGCCATACTAAAAGTTACAATACTGTTTGAAAAATTTCATGTAAGTACATTCCATAGTCTATCATAAACTAATTCATTTTTTTCAAATTGTGTATGTTCAGTGATGAAATATTTTACCACCAAGATCTATGATTGCCATGATTATATTTTTGTATTTGCTATCTGAATATGCATACACATTGTATATTTTATAATAATTTGAAAATTGTCAATTAAAGTCAGTTTATTTTTCAGGGCAACAAAAAATTCAAGTATTACAAATCATGATAAAAAGACTATAACCTTAACAAGAAGTAATTTGTTGTGATGAAAAAAAAGACTGTAAATAAATAATTTTCAAACAAAACATTTTTACAACTTTAAAAGTACGCAAGAAACAAAAAATTGTAAATCTTTTTAGTATATCTTATTTTGTAACTTTGTAACTAAACAAACTCGTTATTTATTTCCTTTAACTTTTTTCGTATCGTTGTTTGTACTTTTTTTATAGACGTGTAATGTGTGTAAAACAAAAGATACTTGTTTTTTTTTCTTCGATTAAAAATTTGCAAATTCCAGAAAAACTTACATTTTTGTGTATAAATTAATTTGACCTTTTCATCAAGACTGAAGATCACTTGAGTAAAAATCTAGTTGGACATAAGAATTCCACAAAATTTGTTTTTGTAATTAAAGGTACTAAACAACAATTTCTGTTTCCAAATGATATATTGTTATATTAATAACCGCTGAGTGAACGGTTTGCTGACGAGAGTTAGAGTACAGGTAAGAATAAATCTGTAAAAGTAATTCGCATTTTGTATTAAATACTTAAAAGGTACACTTTTTATAATAAGTAAAGATAATAGTTGTTAAAACTAAAATCGTCGAAAACCAAGTTTTGTGACTTTAATTTAAATATTGGTGTTGGTGCTTATTCGACGATTAAACAGTAGCATAGAATATATAATAGCTTCAATACGTCAGAATACTGACTAAATATATTACAAAAAGAAATGAAGCTCTTAATTATCAGAATACATTTTCGTCAGCTACAAAATGTTATTCCAATTATATGTGACATCATTTACACTATGACTTAGTACTAAAAATCTTAACTTCGCAACTGCACCATACCCATAAAAATCTTCTTTGAATATTATTTCTTAAAATTATTATTAATTTATTTTTTCTTATAATCTAATTAATCATTTTCTTTTAAAAGCGAATTTTTTACGTTACACAATGTCGCATTTTAAAAAATTATAAAATTTTATAAAAAGTGTTATAAAAATTTTTGTTGATTTTATATTTTTTACGAACATTAACAATTTCCAAAACAACAATTTTAATAAATTCAACTAAACACAACGTAATACTTTTTCTTGCTTCACGATTTTTTGAGTGGTCAGCAGTGATTTTCGGTATGTCTAATAATACAAACGCTTATATTTATACTATATCGTATAAATTTCAAAGTCTTTTATAGCATTAGGTATTAAACATTATAGAGTATCACGTTATATAAATTGCATGTATGCACTCTAAGGTTGCCCTTCGTTCGAGTGTCCTTGTTTTTTGTATTTTTTGAAAGGAACCAGAGATCACGTTTATAATTGAAATGTGAAAATTTTAATAGTTTTTTGATTTTTTTTTTTCGTCAGCCGATGAAGCAGTAAAAATTACAAACGTAAACCTCGTGTACAAAATGAAATCTTTTTCTCCTAGTTCGCACTTCAGTTTTTTTAATTATCACGAGCATTAGTCGATTTGGCCCGATTAGTTAAATTCATATTAGTAGCTGAAATATGCTAAAATTATTAAAAAAAAAAAAAATTGAGTTCCACTCAATTTACAAAATGCTTTCGTCTTCGACGTACATCAATTTTTTGTTGTAATAGTTTGGCTGTGCCATTCTTAGCTGATAACAGATTGGAACTGTCCAGAGCGCTGAACTATTTTGTGTGTGTGTAAATGCACTTATCGTTTTTGAAGCTCTAACAGCGATAAGTGCAATAAACTCTGAACGGCACGATAGAACAAAGCCTCCAAAATGGAATTTCTAAAAATTTTTTTGAAAAAGAAAAAAAAAACACCAACGTCTCCAACGTTATTAGTGCTCGTCGTTACTTTTTATTTCTACGCGATCTACACTTAAACGAGTAATGACCCTTTTTGCGACAATTGCAACACGTGCTGTTGACAGCAGGACAATGTTGTCGATTATTAATGTGGCCCTGGCCGCAAAAATCACAGATTAGAATCATCTCGGTAAAACATTGCCAAGAAAAATGGTTCATTTTCTTGCACCGGGGACAGTCCTTGGCAAACGCCGGGCACTTGGTCTGCACGTGATCCGTACCGCAGAACGGGCAATCTTTGACGTACGTCTTCAGGCAACACCTCGCAAAGTGATTGAAGTTGCCGCACTTCCAGCATTTTTCACCCATCGCCTTGCACTTTTCGCCGATGTGAAACTTGTCGCAGTGGAGGCAACGGTTTTTCGCTCGGATGTGCTCGAACGCGTCCCTCTTTCGCGCCTCCAGACTCATCACCCACTCTTTGATATCTTGCGGTCTCTCGCACTCCTCCCAGATGAAAATAAGTTCGTGCAAGGCCAGTGTCTCGTAATCTGTGACATTGGAGAACGACGGAACGATTTTTGAAAACTCCTCAAACATCTTCTCCGACTTCAAGTCTTGCAAGAGTTTCTCCTTCAAAACTTTTTCGATGTTGCTTTTTGCCGTTTTTTCAGCAATATCCTGAAAAACGAGACGAATTTTAATGACTCCTCTACGCAGAAAGTAAATATAATACATAATATGTTCAAGATACGTTGTTGTACCTTCAAAGCTGTGACGTACTGGCCGATGGATTCGTTGGCGTGTCTCTTTCTGCAGCCAAAAATGAAGTAGACATCGAACTTGAACAGCAACGTATTGATGTCCGTTTCACTGGCTGTGTTGTGGTAATAAAAGTTCTTCGCGATTTCCAAGCCGACGTTGCCGATGAGCTCGAAAAATTTGTTACCCTGCTTGTAGACCGGGATGTAATGCTCGTGCATATAAGTCAAAAAACAATTCCTCCATGCTATCCATTCTTGTCTCGAGTGCGAGGCCAGTGTCCAAGGAATCGCCACGTGTTTGGTTTTACTTTTGGCGCAGCCTGTCGATTATACGAGCAGGACCAATTAACAATGTGCCAAAAACATAAAATTATTCCACGGGTAAGTTTACTGCGAAAAAGTATTTATTACATTTTTTAAACAGTAGCTGCACGGTTCTAAATTTTGAAAGAACGTTTCAAATTGTTTTATTTTTATGAAACCGATACTCGACGATACTTCAGTCACTATATCAACGTATTTATCTACTTACAGTTACTTACTCGTTAAATTGAATTTTTTAAAAATGAACTTTTTCAAGGCAATATCGTCTCTTAAAAATTTAATTAATCGTTTTCTATTGTAAATGATCAATTTTTCTGGATAAAAAAATTTGGTTGCGTACGTCGTCATAATATAGCTACTTAAGAAATCAAACTAATGCTACACACGAGATAAATTCGTATGAAATGTCATGTGGGACTCTCATAGATCGTGTATCTTTATTTCTTATTAATTTTTATTTTATCTTATCGCTATGCTTTAAAGTATTTGGTCATAAAAACTGTAAACACTGTAGACACGTATTCATAAATCATAAATCCCTTGCCGATTACATCGGTATGATAACGTGGAATTCGGTATTTAAAAAAAAAAAAAAAAAACACAAGGTGTGCGATTGCATTTGATTAATGCGCATATCATAACATTACATATAAATAGGAATGATAATCTCGATGTGTACGAGTGCAGGTCGCTATCTATAGTCCGGAAGTTTGCATTATTGTATCAAATCTCATAATAAGTTAACAAAAGTGTATTATATTGTGGTCAACTTTTTTTTTCTAAGTCACTTTTAAAACATACTATACCGTACTATATAAAATAATATTGATTGATTACTTTATTTTTTCTATAACACAAGATCGCGGGGTATTATTTAAGTTGATTCCACGTTGTGAAGTAAAAACGTAATTACTTGCACGAGGATATGGCAGATAAGTAATGTGACTCCATCTTAGCATACATTTTAATTTTCTCGTTACATTTTGAATTTGTATTTTACGTGTGAACTCAAATTATTCACGCAAATCAGTAAGCCTACTTGAGAATTTTACGTAACATAACTTTGATACTCGCTTATACATCAAAATAAAATATTCGAGGAAATTTCAACCGAGAGCTTACTCACTTGTATCCTATGTTTAAGTTATGAATTGTATTAATAATACCAGTTACGATACAACTTTCCTTGTATCGTAAATTGAAAACTCATTTTGTTAAAACTCTATGAACCGATTTTAAATAATCGTTGCAACGATAACACTTATCGTACAAAATTATGAAAATTCATAGGAGATAACATGATAATAATAGTAATCGTATGAAGTCTTGAAAAGTGTAGGTGCACCGTATTATCAAACTACGTTGTTAGCAAATTAAAAAAAAAAAAAAAAAAAAAAATTTATCTGCATAAAACCGTTGCAGGTATATCCCCTATACTATATTACACGTGATGCCTATTATCAATGTGCATATAACGCGCCGCACCTCGAGCGCATTGAACTTAATATATTTGCAATTTGTTTTAACTACGAGCGGTGAAAAAAACGTACGTAGTCATCGAGCCGGACGCGATTCATTTTTGATTGTAAGCAAAAGATTTTTGCAACTACTTGTAAAGATTTAAAAGTCAAACAATATCGTGCGAAGGAATAATAACTAATAATAAAAAGCCAAGTCAACTGACACTTACCCATGTTGTGGGTGTGTAGATGTATAATATATCCTATCCGTCCTTAATGTTGTATCCGTGTGAAGTGCAGGCTAGTATATTTTTTTTCTTCAAGCGTATGTAAGTAGAGCGAGGCTATTTATTTTCAATTAGGCAAGTATACTAATTTGTTGAAGCGTCCATTCGCCTCATTAGCGCGTCGTCAAATTAAGCCGCGGACTGTGGCTACGTAGCGCGGCATTATCGTTTTTCGCTCTCTCTCTTTGATTCTCTGATGTTTTTTATAAGCACCACCACTACTATTATTACTGCACACAAGTGTATGCATGTATACACGAGACATACGGCGATGTCGGCGATATGACACCCGCACCTACACTATTTCACTCACGTACGCGATTTTATCTCTCTCGCGCGAAAAAAAAGAAAAAAAAAGAATGGCACGAGAAAATTGAGATCGGCTGCAAGTTCGACACACGCACACAAATCAAAGTTGAATTCTTGAAATTTGATCACACACGAACTTAGATCATGTACCTTATTATGCTCGAGAATATTTGCTTGTCAAATACATATACTCAATTAAAAAAGACGCAGTAGACGTGGGTGTGAAGTACCAGCTGGGTGACCGATATATTCGTGATTTTTTTCCTCAATCGGTCAAGTTTTGGGAGATAGTATACGATGGTTACCATATTTTCCTTAGCCCACCTATATGTTTATTGCTCAGCTCAGCCAAGTTGGTTATTGGCATATGCTATATAATAATATTGCGAGGCTTGAGTAGATTGCGTAATTGACAGTATATGCGCGGCGAGGTCAACAGTCTTCATGAATAAAAATATACTTTGATGCGGAGCAGAGAGCAGACTTCAGAGAGGCTTTCACTACATGCTATATGTGTATATATAGACACGTTACTCACTGCTACATACTGTTATGGCTGCTGCAGCCTGCTGAAAATGACACACAATATCACTGTTTACTTATCAATAACATATATATGTGTAACTTATATGTATAGAGAAAAATAAATACAAATAAATACAGTGCCCGCCCACACAATCTACTTTCGTTGCTTCACCGCACCCTGCACTCCCTGCAGTGCATCACCTGCTGTTTCTGTCTACTTACACATCTTAGAGAATATATACAATACATGGAGGAAGCATTAGGTATGTTCGGGGACCGGGATTGGGCGTATATTATATACGCCGTCAACTTGCGCTCGCCTGCGCTCGCCCGAACTTAACCAAAGAACAAGCGTTGTGGTGTGTCCTGTCCGCAGACTAACTTTTCCTTACCACATCACACAAGCGTGTATATCTATATCTATCAGCTGGTTCCCAACGTGGGTCGCCCAATTAGAACGCTTGTTCTTTGGTCAAGTTCGGGCTTCGGGCGGGCGAGCGCGGGTTGACAGCGTGCGCCCAATCTCGGTCCCCGAACATACCTATTGTTTGCTCCGACCTTAGAGAATATATACATTAATTAGCGCCAGTTTAATTCAAGGTAGTTGACTTACCGACCTGACAGTAACGTAGAGCGCAAATTTAAATTACTTGCTGGTGACGATTGCGGAAAGTGGCGTTACCACCACGACCTACGTAACTTTACAGCCTCTGATTTTATCATTCTGGTAAAGAGAGCACGATTTAAGATGTACGTGAAGTTATGTGTAGTAATTGAAGTAATTACTACTAAGTAATGCCATATGGTCGATTTTATTAAACCATATGAATATCTATATTTTTGGAGGTCGACTTTTGGGTAAAAAATAGATTGTAAACTTGCCGCAAACAGCACAGACCACGTCAACTTTTTATTATCTATTCATAAGATTAGTTGCGGCTGGTTTATAATTGATTAAATGGCTCTAATATAAGAAGTAATAGTTATTTGGATCAGCGCCATCTAGCGTCTCGAATTTCTGAACTAAAAAGTGGCCCTAAACTTTTGAACCAGAGCTTTAGCGCGTAGAGCCATTTAGTCAGTTATAAACCAGCCGCAACTTATGATGAAGCTAAAAAATAACGATATATGTGTTTTTGGCGGCAAGTTAGCAATCTATTTTTTACCAAAAAATTGACCTCCTATGTGTTTACACTTTTAAAGATAAATTTTTAAGCATAAGATAGATTGTTAGCTTGCCGCCAAAAACACATGTATTATTATTTTTTTATTTTTTAGCTTTATCATGAGTTGCGGCTGGTTTGTAATTGACTAAATGGCTCTAATCCGAAATGCTCTGATTTAGAATTTTAGGAGCCACTTTTGGCCAAAAAATAAAGACCGCTAGATGGCGCTGATCCAAAATAATTATTGCTACTTACAGTAAAGTCACTTTATTAATTATAAACCAGCCGCAACAAATCTTATAGATAGATAATAAAAAATAAACATTTTTTGTGCTACTTGCGGCGAGTTTACAATTTATCTTTTACCTTAAAATCGACCTCCAAAACCATCAATATTCTACTTATCTTATATGGCTCATAAAATCGACAATATTTACAAAATTTTAATACTCTAGACTTTTTACCATTAACTCATGAAAGAACAGCCCTTCAACTTTAGATTTCCAATAAAATCAGAGGCTGTAAAGTTACGTAGGTCGTGGTGGTAACGCCGCTTGCCGGCTAAAACTCAACATAACCGATCGATTGATGCATAAAATAAATACATTTATATAGTTACATGTAACACGTACACACACCTGCTATATGTACATCCCTTTTAGAGTGCGCAGTGGCCTTGTCATTTCTGTCATCGTTGCGTCGATCACATTTGTTTACAAATAAACAGCAGACGACAACGAATATACTTATATGTTTATATAAGGAGATCAAACCCTGCATAAAACCTCTTATGTATACTTATGCAGGGCAGCCTTATTCGTTATTCGTTATTCATTATGAATGAAAATTAAGTATTTTTGTAACCATTAGCTATAGTATGATGTAAGTATATGTATGTCAACCAGAGTATTTAAAATAAGTGTAGAATCCATCGCTATTAAAGAAACATGGCTCTAAAACACGTGATCATAGGTGAGTTTAAATACATTTTTCAAGCTTGATTTTTTTAACAATGTGCCTCTTATTCATGTAAAAATTTCGGAGGAATGCTTTGAGAGCTACAAATTACAACCTTTTGTTTGTTTCATTAGGTGGTGGTACTGGATACATTGGATCCTGCATCGCCACAGCACTCTCTACCTTAAAACCACCTCTGAGCGTCAGGACGACTATTATCTCCCGTATGCCGGGACCCAACAGGATGTCCTGGGTAAGTTGGGCTACTAGTATTTTTTGTGTTATATTGTTATCTGATAAAATCATTGAAATTATTGTGTTATAGCTATGTTGATTAACATAAAAACCAACATGTAGCTGCATCCAGTAATGTATTGACCTCGCATTTTTTGCAGCAAGAATTAGAAATCAATGGCCTTCCTAAGGATACGACTGCTGTGATAAACGTGGCAGGACAAAATATTCTAGACTTCACTCAAAGATGGACACCAGGTTTCAAGCAAAATGTGTACAACAGTAGAGTAAAAACCACAAAACAGCTTGCCGAGGCAATTTCTAATTCTGATGTCAAAACGTTCATCACAATATCTGGTGTTGCCTACTATCCACCTGATCGTAATGAGTACACAGAATATGACCAGTGTAAGAAGTATGATTTTCTATCAGGTAAAGGAATGCATGAAACATTTTTTTTTTTCTACAGTTTCTGTGCAAAATAAATGATAAATTTATTAATTGTAGAACTTTGTCACGACTGGGAATGTGCTGCTGAACTGCCTAAAGATAGTTCCACAAGGCAAATTACTATTCGTTCAGGTGTAGTTTTAGGTAGAACTGGTGGCATGATCAAACAAGTTATCATGCCTTTCTTTTTTGGACTGGGTGGACCCATTGGGAGTGGCACACAATACATGCCTTGGATTCACATTAGAGATCTTGTGAATCTGTTCCTTCATGCATTGCAAAATGAGTGCGTGAGAGGAATTTACAATGGTGTAGCACCTGAGGTGATTATTTCAAATACATTTTGTTATTTTTATTATGGAATTTATCAAATTTCTTGGATTGATTTTTCAGTTGGTAACAAATGCAGAATTCACCAAGGCTTTTGCCTCAGCTTTGGGAAGACCAGCTTTTATTCCACTTCCTGAATTTGCCTTAAAAACGTTATTAAATGAAGAGCGCGCCAAGGTTAGTCATTCACTTTTTTATTTGCTAAAAACTCTTTTTTTTTTTTTTTTTTTTTTTAATTAAATGAAATTTTTTTTCCAGATCATGCTGGAAGGTCAAAAAGTGATTCCCAAACGAGTTTTGGAATCTAATTTTCAATACAAATATCCTACTATAAAACGAGCATGTGAAGAGTTCGCGTGGGTACGCTATGAAGAGCCTTATTAATTTAATCATGCACACTGCTAGTCCTAATGTACATATAATTTGTTATATAATTATTTTTTAAAAGTTAAACGATTTTACAAAGACACAAATGCTATGTTTATTTAAATCTTCTTAAGTTTTAACATTTAAATGAAATTTTTTTTCCAGATCATGCTGGAAGGTCAAAAAGTGATTCCCAAACGAGTTTTGGAATCTAATTTTCAATACAAATATCCTACTATAAAACGAGCATGTGAAGAGTTCGCGTGGGTACGCTATGAAGAGCCTTATTAATTTAATCATGCACACTGCTAGTCCTAATGTACATATAATTTGTTATATAATTATTTTTTAAAAGTTAAACGATTTTACAAAGACACAAATGCTATGTTTATTTAAATCTTCTTAAGTTTTAACATTTAAAATGCATAAGAACAATTTTTTTAAGTGGTTCTTTGGGTATTAGTTTTATGTTCGTTAAAAAAATTAATTTCTATGATGATAAAATACAGTTTTCGACATCTTGATGCACAAAATGTCACGCATGGAAAAGTAAGACTAAAAGATTATAATATTTTTTATAAAAAATTTAATATTCATTCATGTATGTACAAATATTTTCTTAAACTATTAGTTTATTAATAACAGATGCACGATTTCTAAAATTCCATTTGCATATCTGAAAATATTTTTGATCAAATTATTTACAAAGAATATGTTACTTCAAGTGTGGCTATAATGGCTCCTTACCGCTTTTTGTAATTTTCTCTCCTTTCTGAGAATTCTCAAGACCTCGTAAGAACTCTTGAAATGCGTAAAAAGGTTTGTTCAAGCAAGTTTTCTTGTAATCTTTTATCCTTTTAACATTGTCAACAGATTCGCCTTGCTCAGTAATCTCCTTGTCATCAAAAGCATTGACTTCATCGATTAATTTCGTAATTGTAGGAACATTATTTAAATCAAATTGCTCAACTACTTTCGGATTTATCGGAATGCAAACTTTGCCAGTTTTGGGATGAACACAGAAAGGCGATTTGAGCAAATGATTCATTCCTTTAGTTACGTTTATGTCTAATCTTGGATAAGCATACTGAATCATTATTTCTTCTATTAAGAAAGGAGTCCTGCGCCATTTTTTTGAACCCTGCAATAATACAAGTTGTTGATCTGCGAATTTGCAGAAGCTATTCAGACCGGGCTTAAAAAATACTTACAGACTGAAGCTGGTCTTTGAAAAAGCTCACAAAAGCATCCCATTTTTTGACGCTGGTTGTATGTTTGTCTAGTTCCGCTTTTGCTTCAGCACGCATATCATCTTCAGTGATTATTCCTAAAAATTTTGTCACTCTGTCTTCTGTACCCAACATATTTTGCTCTTTAACGCACATCTGAACAAACATTGGCTCTATGATATGCACTGCTCTCCTGTAAATGCAATCAACAATTTGAGTACACACGATTTCACTCAACATGGATAAATATTTCCATACCTGACAGAATGATGCATCTTTTTGATTATTTTAACTTTTTTCTTTGTAAATTCACCACCAGTGACTAGCTGCAAATAGTTTGCTACAGCTTTTCTACCGTTTTGTGTTAAAAAGCGAGCTCTCTTGTCACATACCCAACAATGTATACCTCTTCTTCCAGAAAATATCCATAATATGTGTTCAAACCCAAAGTCCTCTGAGACAAACCAATGCATTCAGTAACCATATTTTAAAAAAACTATAAACAAAATACCTCTAAAGGCAGTGTCGAGAATTTTAACAGCTATCACCATGTACTTCCAGCACTTGCTACAGACATCAGCTCCAGTGCAGCAAGTCCTTACATCATCATAGTCTGTCATGTCGATGTCAATGACAAGTTCCCTCTGTAAAGGTTCAAACTTCACCTCTCGTTTTTTATTTATTGGTCTATAAAGCATCAATATCTTTGTTAAGCAGAGTACATAATTTACAAAGGCAATGTTAAGGTAAGACGCAACTCACGGCACATTATAAACTGCACCAATGTCAATCTTGTGGGGACAAATCCTCTTTACCTCGGCCTTGAGATCATCGAGTTTATCGAACGACTGGTACCGAATGTACATATCATCCCGCATAGTAAACGAAAACTCCCTGCGACTGAAGACGTTGGCTGAAAAAAGTGAGATTAAACAACATTTGAGTGATGTTGACATAAGTCAAAATTTTTACCTTCACCGTAGCTCAGCCAGCGATAGTAATCCACGTAAGGAAAAAGCCTTGAGTAGTAAAGGCGCAACAGATCCGTCAAAGTAGACTCATCCATTCTATTATTTGTGCTTGTCTTTTTGTTTATGAAAAAAACTAACAATATCAGATCGTACCTATTACTTGTGAATCTGCTAAACAGGCGGGAACGCCGGAAAACAAAACACAAAAAAAAAAACAGTAAAACACCAGCGTATGTGGATCAGCGCCATCTAGCGGCATTTCCCAGATTGAACAATTGAACTTTGTCCTTTTGCGAAAATTAGTCGTTTTGACACATCATACATAAGTACACACACATACACACACACACGTAGTGGGGAATCTGGGGATATTAAAAATATATTGGATAAAAAGTGGGAATAATTTGATGTAAATTCTGGAATATACCCTTAATTTTTATCGATACTTCGGGATTTCTCTGTACGGAAGAANGATTAACAATGATCTCATTATGCAACGAACGGTGACTAACAGTTGGAGTTGAGGTGTCGAGATTCAGATTATACAGGATGTCAAAGCGTTTTGGTTCATTTTTTGTTTTTCAAGTACACGTGAATTGGAATATCAAAACCGGCGTAGCCAGATTCCGTGAGACAGTACGGAGGCTCTTTTATGACTCTCTTTGGTTTTGGAAACGTTTCATGAAGTATATTGGATAAAAAGTGGGAATAATTTGATGTAAATTCTGGAATATACCCTTAATTTTTATCGATACTTCGGGATTTCTCTGTACATAACTTACATATTTTTTCTTCCGTACAGAGAAATCCCGAAGTATCGGTAAAAATTTAGGGTTTATCCCGGAATATCTAGGAGAGATAAGAAAAAAAAAACTCAATCTATTTGAATGATTTAATTTTATTCACCTATACTTAAGACTTTCAATAAAACTATTCATACATATAAAGTCCACTGTGTATAAACGAACTCCGTCATCGCTTTTTCTTTCTCATATCACTGCGAAATAAGTAGCAATATTTGTTAGAAAATAGAGTTGCCCATTGATGGTGTTGAAACTTGTGCATGATTTCATTACTTTAATGAATAGCAAAACGACAAAAAAATTACGAGAGGTTACAGTCAGTGTAAACATATTATGCGTTATACATTTAAAAAATTTTTACTGCACCAATTTTATCGGTACCCTATAATTTTGGTTTGATTAATAGTAACGAATTTTATCGATAGTCATTATGTGCATTGCCACTATCCAATCAACCCACAAAATTATTCAATGATACAATAAAACAAGACATTAATTCTTCTTCTTTTCACTTTAAGCGACAGTCGGTCAAGAGGCGAAAAACTGCTGGAGCCGTTGAACCGTGCGTCTGTCCAATGTGCACAGATCAAAATCAAATGTCTTTTTAGTAATTTCATATTGGCCAGTCTCAGCGATTACCTGCACGACCCTCTGCAACTCCTGATTGTCTTGCAGCGTCATAATCTTCTGCTGGAGCTCTTTCAGTTGTAATACATAATCTTCGGAAAAGACTAGAGGCTCTTCCGTGTCGACTAACGTGCTGTTTGTCGAATCGGGAGCGACTTGTTCGCTGTCACCGGCTGTAGGTTCGATAACAGTTGGATCCTCGTGTTTGACCTTTGGCAACAAAAGATCTGCATTCGTCGCGATTGGAGACTGGCTAGAAGATACTGGCTCGACTAACGGTGAAGTTGAATGATCCCGGTCCTTGCCCTTTTTCACTGGCACGATTTCGTCATCTGCCGGACCTATAAAAAAAAAAAAAAAAAAAAAAAATAAATGAATACAATCCACAATTATGTAGAATTTTACAGTTGAAGCTAAAAAAAAAAAAAAACTAATTTTTACCTTTACTTTCACTCTTTCGCTTCCGTTTTTTGCCCTCTTTTTCTTCTCTTCTGCCCTTTGATCTGTCGTGTTTTCTATCACTTTTGTCCTTTTTATCACCCGCAGGAGCTGGTGGCGGAGACATTGTCCGATGAACCTCTGCTGGAGGTGCTGGTGACGGCAACTCCTTCTTTGGAGCGCTACCACTGCTCAGTCTTGTCTCCACAACCGAGTCTTCATCGCCTGAAGTGTCACTACTGTCTCGATCCACGATTTCTTGTACGCGTGTCGGTACCTGAGAAATTGAAACAGTTTAATAGATTTTTCATTTGAGTACAAAGAACGGATTAAAAAACTGGTTGAATACTTACGAGAACAGTAGGAGTAGGAGTAGGAGTAGGATTGGTGACTTCAGTGCCTTTGGATTCACTGGAACTTTTTGACTTCTCACGTTTATCTTTTTTTTCTCTTTCCCGACTGCCATCCCTCTTCTCTTTTTTTTCTTTCTTTTTGTGCTTATGCTTTGATTTATCAGATTTTTCACTCTTTGACTCTTTCGACTTTTCTTTCTCACTTTTTTCTATTTTCTCTGGCTTTAAAATTTTTTCTTCTTTAGGCTTCACATCTTCTTTCAAAGTCTTTGGCGATTTCTTTTCCTCTTTTATCGGTTTTATTTCTGATTTCTCCTTCTCTACTTTTTCAGGCTTTTCAACCTTCTTCTCAATACTCTTTACTCCTTCTTTATCCTTACTTTTTTCTCGTTCTCTATCTCTGTGTTTATCTTTTTTTTCTTTATCCCGATCTTCTTTGTGTTTCTTTCTATCTTTTTTACGCTCGATTTTACTTTCTTTTTCACTCCTTTCAGTTTTAACTTCATCTATTGGGTTGCTTTTAGAGCTATCCTTTGATTTCTCCTTTTCTCTGTCTCTGTCTTTTTCAGGATCTTTTTTACTTTCTTTTTCTTTGGGTTTTGACGATGGCGAGGACAACCGTTTCACAGTTGGAGCAGGTGAAGATGTTTTCTTAATCGTCGGCGATGATGGCCTTTTATCCAAACTGTGTTGACTCACCTAAGGGAAGAACATTAAATATAACAATCCATTTCATTGATATTTTCAACCAAATGAATAATTAGTCATACCTTACTGACACTGGGACTTGAAGATCTTTTTGACTTATCTTTACTCTTCTCCTTGTCCTTGACTCCATCTTTTTCCTTCTCTTTCTTTTCCTTTTTTTCTTCCGATGACTTATCCTTTTTGCTATCCTTGTGGGGGCTATGTTTAACTTTTGTACTCTTGTCAACTTTGTCGGACTTTTCTGGGACTGCAGGAGCTTTCAAACTGTTTGGTTTTTCGGACGTTTTCTTGATCTCCTGCGTGAGTTTTGCAGTTTTAATTGGAGGACCAAAAAGATCATTGAATTGATTAGAAGTTTTGGGCTCCACTATCCTGTGCTTCTTCACTTCGGAGTTGCCACTCAGCTTGGGTTTGCCAACCATTGACAGCGTTTTCGTCTCGTTCTTTTCCAACGGACTATCAACGTTTGTGAGAATCTGATGTAACAGATTGAATTTTGTGTTTAATACCCGTAGATTGTCCTTATGGTGCAAAATGATTGAACAAAAAAATACTTACGGCACCACCTTTCAGCAACTTTTTCCTGAATTCTTCAGTGGGATTAACAATCACCTCATTATGCAACGAGCGGTGACTAACAGTTGGAGTTGAGGTGTCGAGATTCAGATTATACAGGATGTCAAAGCGTTTTGGTTCATTTTTGTTTTTCAAGTACACGTGAATTGGAATATCAAAACCGGCGTAGCCAGATTCCGTGAGACAGTACGGAGGCTCTTTTATGACTCTCTTTGGTTTTGGAAACGTTTCATGAAGATTGAATACCACTGAAATACAGTTTTATTCGAGTAATACTAAAAATAATTAATGATACTTTTGCAGAAATGAGTAATTAAAATTGTATTTACCTCTTTCTATATAATGATGTATTGGAGCGTCGTCGACTCCTTTGATCCAAACCTCCCAATCATGAGTAAAACCGTCGGGAGTCTTTTTAGAACGTAAGCTCGATGTGTCCCCACATTCCAAAGATATTCTATATCCCATCATTTTTTTCAATTCTTTTAAGAAATCGTTTGTGTGTTGAAATCAATTACTCTTGATGAGTTACTGTTCAGTTATGTGTTTAAAATACATTTGAAATTCAATTTTCTGCTGAACTCAAGTACAGGCAGCAAAGCACTACTTGAAGCTTGTGTTATAACTGCTCCAAAAATTAATGTAGTGTATATCTTAATGTAAATGTTTTTCAATACATTGTAATAAAAAAAGGGTAAGGTAAATAATTATAAAAATGTAGTGCTTGAGATAAGTTAAATGGTAATCCAATTGAAAAATAGTGTAAAACTAATTCATTTGAGCAATCGATTTATATTACATTCGTGAAACAATAAAGTTTAAGTGCTAAGCTTGTACCTTTGCAAGGTGATTAACATAAATTTTAAAAAATCTTTATCAACGTAATTACTGCACTTTCATTTATTCACCTGCTTTACGGTGTAAACAAAAAGTTTAAGCTGTTTTTTTTTGGAAAATATCCAATCTCCCATTATCCATGCGGTCAAAATGTCATAATTTTCGAAACACCGAGAAAGTGTCCCTCACCACACTCCATTAAAACACACTGCGATTCTCAGGAGCGTAAAATTGTTTCTGAATGTGGACAAGCTAAGTATATGATTCTTCTTTCGTGAGCCTCATCATCATCAGCATCAATGGCATCAATGTGTACCTCCGAAAGAAGTAAAGAGCGCACGCAGAGAGACAACTCCAGCAGACAGCTTCTGTGACAACGATCGCCTAAGTTTTTTTATATTTTTCACTTGTTTCATCAAAGAAATCTATCACCCTGTGAGCGAGATTAAACGGAGCACCAAAGTACAAAACCAGAAAATTCTATGAGGTAACTATATATTAACGCACCTCTCTCGGTTCTATAGCTTTTTAACCTGTAGGTAGGTATTTACACATGGATAGTATATATCCACTCCATAAAGTCTCTGCAGACTCTGCACTCACTACCCAATACAATAAATACCCTGCATAAGTACCCACTGCACACGAGTGAAAGAGAGGCGATCAAGTGCACAAGACCAAGAGTGATGCCATGGTTTCTCTCTTTCTGCAGATCTACTTGCTTACACGATGGCTTTCGATTAATTTCTTGAAAAGTCACTATTCACTATATATATATATATATATGGATAACC